TTATAGTATATGGAGTCAGAAAATCAATGTTTGCATTTGCCCACATGTCTTTGTAGCGGCTATATTGAATTTTAAAAAAATGGCCGCCAAAAAACTCTTTTGGAATATCTCAGCCTCTGAATAAGTTGAAATGTTGATTTTAACTGCTAAACCCACATTTTCAGGGTCAGGAAATCAAATGGTGCTAGTTACAAAGCTATAAAACCTACCCACATTAACCCTTAGATGCATAAGTGGGTCAAAAATGACCCGGTTTGGTTGTTTTCTTGCAATTTCACTGTAATATTCACATGTAATACCCCATGTTCCTCCAAATACATGTTTTTCTTTCTTTTTTTTTGTTTTTGTTTTTAATTATCCTGCTGAAATACTTCAACAACATTGGTAAAACAAATTATAAACATCACATGCAGCTGGTCAGATAACTCAAAGAGTTTAAAACTAGCTAACATAAAATTTGGATATTGGATGTAAACACACACATTTAGATACAATATGATTACACAACTTTTTATTAGACATTTTCTATACATCATCGTTATCATCATCACTTTCATACAACCATAGACTGTATAGACGAGTGGACAGATCTAATGTTGTAGCCGCCATGTGCCAAATAGGAAGTTCTCCAGGAGGCTCTTCCGGCTCCTTCTGACTCTGGCTCCAATGGGATTGGGACATTAGGATCTTGTGGCTCCTCTCTCTGTATCTGCTGCAGTGAGCCTCGACATTTTGGTCTTGAAATGTTTGTGTTAAGCCACGACACATGATCCTGATTTTTTTTTTTTTTGCTATTTTGTCCGTCAAAAAAATCCTATTCATAATATAGAGTCTGGTTCCAGATTGGCTCCTGTAACTGTGAACATCACGAGCCTCATTTGAGTGGTACTGAACTCTGTGGGTCACACTCACTTAGTCCACTTCTTTTATACAGTCTATGCAACAACATGGCTTGGGAATCATCATCATTCTGGCACTGGCTGCTGCACTGACACATGTTGGTACAGGATAAACCTTTAGTTTGTGGTGTGCAGTTCTGCAGTCGCCTTTGTACTTGGCAGTGGTGAACCGTGGACCTGGACCCTGAACCTTCATTAGGACCAACTGCTGCTATCATGACATCATTTATTTAAAGAAAACTAAAGGAAGCAAATTGCGCATGCACGTATTTCATATATTTGGTTAATAAACATTAGCTACTGTTCAACAAGATGGATAGATCCACAGCCGGCCTGGCTCCGAGCTCTGCTGCCTCTGAGCTCTGGTCTGGCCGCAGGTTCCATATGTAGGAAATGCGGCTACAGCCAAATACCTGCAAAGAGTGAGGCAAGTCCTAAGAAGCCAGCTCAATGGCAAGAACAAGGCGCAGGCAATCAACAGCTCCGCCCTGCCAGTGATCCGATACCCTGCAGGAATCATAAGCTGGCCAAAGGAGGAGATACAGACCACAGATGTTAAGACACAAAAGCTCCTGACCATGCATGGAGGGTTCCATCCCAAATAGTGAGTGTGGGAACCACTCTCCAGGATGAAACATCCAAGCACCTTGAGTACATCAAGGACAAGGCCCTGACAGATGAGGTGCTCAGAGAATGTCTCAGACAGTGGGGTCCAGACGAAGAGGTGCTGGAGGGACCATCATGGCAGGACAAACCCCTACACGGGGCGAACCACCAGAACATAACTGAAGTAGCTGATATCAAGAAATCCTACCAATGGCTTGAGAGGGTCTGAAGGACACACAGAGGCTCATCCTGGAGCTCAGGAGCAGGCACTGGGCACTCGAGTAATAGAGGCCCAGATCTACCACACCAGACTGTGCAGTCTGGTGTAGACTGTGCAAAGAGGCTCCTGAGACAGTCCAGCACATAACTGCAGGGTGTAAGATGCTGGCAGGGAAAGCATACATGGAGTGACATAACCAAGTGGCGGGCATAATGTACAGAAACATCTGTACGGCCGGAGACCCCAGGATCAAGGTGGGAAACACCTCCAAAGGTTGTGGAGAACAACCGCGCCAAGATCCTGTGGGACTTCCACATACAGACGGACAGGATGGTGATGAACCAACCACACATAGTGGTGGTGGATAAGAAACAGAGCAGAGCCATGGTGGTGGACATCACAATACCAAGAGATGGTAATATGAGGAAAAAGGAACCGCATGTCAATCTCACGCTCCATCGTCCCCTCACTCATGAACAAGACCCCGAGATACTTGAACTCCTCCACTTGAGGCAGGGACTCTCCACCCACTCGGAGAGGGCAAGACACCTTTTTCCGGTCGAGAACCACGGCCTCGGATTTGGAGGAGATGATCTTCATCCCAGCTGCTTCACACGCGGGTCAAACTGCCCCAGTGCTGCAGGTCCTGGTTTGATGAAGACAACAGGACAACATCATCTGTGAACAGCAGAGAAGATCCTGTGGTCCCCAAACCAGACCCTCCAGCCCCTGACTGCACCAAGAAATTCTGTCCATAAACACAATGAACAGAACCGGTGACAGTGGCGGCCCTGGCAGAGTCCAACATCAGGAACAGGTCTGACTTACTGCCGGCAATGCGAACACAGCTCCTGCTTCTGACTCCATAAACTATAACCTTTCCAAAAATATATAGGTTAGCAAATCCCCAAAAACTTCCCACTAAGGTCAAAAAATGACAATAAGGAACCGGACTATTTAGTGAAGCTGTCGACAAACAAAGCGAGTTGGCTCGGCTCTTCTGACTCTTTGACGTTGGATTTGTGACCGACATAATCTTACAGGGATCTTTCCCGAGTGCAGGTTTCACTGGATTCGTTGGTCTGTTCATGCAGACTTTAACTCAGGTAGGTGACATTTCTGTGTGAATCATCATCTCAAAACAAGGCCTGAATATGCTGAGGATTTTATGTCCAAGGCTTTAGTTTTAGGCCTAAGGTGGTTTGAAAGTGGGCCATATTTAAATGTTGCCTCACTTTTATGGAGACTGCTGGTCTCTCCTGGTCTTATCTGGTCTAAATGTGGAGTGGGCCAGATTAAATGTTTACACCATAATTTCCACAGGTTTCATTTGGGCTTGGGCCCTTGTGTGTTTTTGGTGTGTGCCTCGACTGGTCTAAATATGGGCCAGATTTAAACAGGCTGGTAAATCATGTTATTATCGGGTGAAAGTGAAATTTCTTATTCGAAACTAAGCCTTCAACAGTTTCATTTGGAGGTAAAAGGGTCTAAAAACTGATTTGAGTCTTGGGTTGTTTAAAGGAGATGTGTTTTGTATTTGGTTTGGTCTGAACTGGTCTTAACGTGGGCCAGATTTGGACTGGTTTATAGAGTCTGATGGCTCTGGTCCTAACCCTTAGACTAAACTGTAATACTAGTTGTTCAACTCTTCCACAGGTTTGCAGAGGGTCTGTTCATTTTAACCAGTTTGAAATCTGTTGACATTTCTGTACTTCTGTAATACATTGTATTAACTTTACAGGGTTAAAGGTTAAATCTCATATTAATTTTGTCATTGTGTATGTTGTAAAATTGTTTCGGGTTTGTTTTGTGAAATGACAGTTCTAACCCTAACTCTTCTGACTCTTCTCATTGCAGCTCTAAACTGTTGTACTAAACTTTTAAACTAGTCTTCACAGGTCCAGAGGCTGCTGCTGTTTACTGTGAGTATGTCTGCACGCACTTACTAACACACTAACTCTGTACGATCACGGGCGGTGGGTCTAATCCAGCCACAGAGGGCGCTGTGTGTGTCCCTCTGTGCCAGTCCCCAGCCTGGATAAATGGAGAGGGTTGCTTCGGCGTAAAACCTGCCTCTTGTACCCTGATCTTAAAGTGTTTATGGCAGATTTTTCTAATTATTTTTACTTGTTATGGTAGGATAGCACTTGTGGTGAATATTTATCATAGTTTTATATCAGTTTTGTGTTAGTTTCTAGACAAAAGTTGGAAAGAAAAGCACAAAAGTAAAGGATGTAGTGGTTCGTACATCTACGTTAAAACTTTCACATGCAGAAATAATTGAACTATTGTGTAATTTAGGCAAGTCTTGACACCTTTTTCACAGTACAGTTGTTAGGTAAAAGTTATGAAATTAGCTCTGCATCTGCTGTCTGTTCAACCAGGAAATAAAGTTTGTAGAAATCCTAATAAATTTAATTGCAAACATGCCATATCCAATGTAATATATTGATTGTGCCAACTTAAATCTGTGTTTATTTTGCAGCTTTTAATAAGTTATTTTTATAGGTTTGATTTAGTGCCAAAATGCCCCCTGCTGCTAGAATAAAAAGAACATCTGTAAACTATTCTGTAAATCTGTAAATATTGTATATACATGTTTCTCAAGCAAAATTATGAAATGTGGGGAAATCTTTTACATTTTTTCTTTCTTTTTTTTTTTAACTTTTAAATTGGTTTAGATTTTCCCCTGAAAAACTAAGTACCCCGCGTCGCCCAGAGCAGTGGCGCCATCTGCTGGAGAAGGAATACAAAAAACAGACCTCCTGTTAGTTTTTTTGTTTTTGTTTGTTTGTTTTTTTGTTTTGTTTTTTTGTTTGTTTTCTTCCGTCGCAAACTAGCTGTTCTTTTTTGACTACCTAAAGTGACCAGACTGACCAGATTGTGACTTAAATGTGTCTGAAATGTCAATAAATTGCCTTTTATTTGACTTTTGCGTCTCGGTCCCTTATTTTTTTATTTTTTTTAGCTTATTTTAAAAAAAAGTTTTTTGTTTTTTTTAAGCAACTCCCACTTGATTGTTTTATGGGATAGGCTATTTATTTATTTATTTATTATTTATGTATTTTCTGAAAAGTCACAAACCTATCCTACCCTGGTCAGCTAACCCTGTTGCTATGGTAACCGGTAGCCGGTCTTGTTTCCAGTTTTCTCTTGTCCGTAGGCTGTACGTTCATGTAATGTGTTAAACGTGTTATGACTTTCAGATACTGGGTCTTTTTTTTTTTTAGCTGAAGTTTGTGCTATTGTGTCTTAAGAGCTCAGTTATTGTATAAATGTCTGTAAGCCCGGGCTCGTTGTCCGCAGACGAGCCAAAAGCGGAAAGACATGAGGCGGAACTTTCACACGAAGCACCGGAGTGGAGCTACGACACACAGGTACAAATATAAAGTTACAAGTACAACTACACAGGTACAAACACACAAGTACAGAGACACGGTGCAAACACGACCGGAGCACCGTCCTCCATCAATGGAAGTGTAAGATCTTATTACAGATCCATGATGCCTCCATAACATTTATCAGATTAGACTCATACAGATGTACTCCAGTTTAGTCTCAGTTCTGAACAAGTTTTATTACCCAATGTTTTGTTTCTATTAGGTTAGGATAGTTCTGATTGCAATTCTGCTACTCGACCATAATAACAGAATAAAACTGGTTTCTGTTAATTGACTTAAAACGGCATTATTTACATAAAAAAAAAAAATGGTGGCAGTCTATCTTTCTTTTTTTTAGTTTAGTAAAATTGGCATAAAATGAAAAATCCCTTAAAGGTGCACTATGTAACTTTTTCTGGCAGAGGATCCCCACACTCTTGTCTCCATGGATGTTATTCTTTTGTCTGGAAAATTCCACTGTACATTTATAAGCATCAGTCTCCACGGAGAAAATCAGGTGGCATCACTAGATGAAGTTACAAGTCAGATCTGTGGAGAAGTGAACCCGCTCAGTTAGAATGAATGTTTTTAAAGGTTTATAGTTTAACACCAAAAAATGCAAATTCTGTGAAAATCAGACATTCTTTGATTCTTCTATAACATAATTTGTGTTTGTCTTTCAGGTCCCAGTGAAGACGTTCAGAGCTCACACAGACTCGGTCACAGCCGCTCGCTTCTGCCTCAGTGACACACACTTCGTGAGCTGCTCCTCCGATTGCACCACTCGCCTCTGGGTACTGAACTCAGAACCACTGATTTTTACTACCAAAACATAAATTTTAGCACATTGATGATGCCTGTCATAATGAAATGTTTTTACAGGAGGTAGAGACCTGTCGACCGGTCAGAGACTTCACTGGAGGCCATGAAAGAACCATAACGGAGTGTGCTATGATCCCAGACACCAACAGGTTTGTGAATTTCAACTGAATTTATTGTGTTTACATAAAAACTATTGCGTGACCAGGCAGTCCTATATCCTGTTTGAACGCAGAAGAACCTGGAATCCAATTTGGACCAGTCCCCCAGTTGTGATGTTATCATAAGAACGCAAAGTTTCATGCACCCCTCATGTGTTTTTTTGTTTGTTCTCGTCTCGTCAGGATGGTCACAGTCTCCTGGGATAAGAAGATGGTGTCCTGGGACATGGAGACAGGACAGATGCTGGTAACTACCTCTTACAGAATTCAGCAGTGACCGCCCACGCCACTGGTCCTGGAAATTTCTCATTTTCCCCGCAGACTGGGGTGACCACTACATGTCCCTATTTACCCAGGACAGTCCCAGTTTTGAGGTCTGTGTCCCCTGTCCCAGCAAATTTATACAAAACCAGTGATTTGTCCCAGTTTTATACAAGAAATGTCCCAAGCATCCCTATTTTTGACAAATTTAATCTAAACCAGGACTAAACTAAGATTAAACCAGGACTACGTCAGGTCTAATCTGAGCCCTGCCAACGGTAAAGAGGAGCATAAATTGTCATTTGCTTTGCCAAAACACAAAAATCCATGTTTGCGAATGACCATAAAGCAAAAAGCTGCAGCAACAGAAGCCCCTCAGATTATGACTGACACGAGAATGCACAGTATTACATGCTCCTTTCACAATTTCATTTATGTTTTGAAAATCTCGTCACCCTAATATAGACATTCAGAAAAAAAATCAATATTAAAAGTTTGAAATCTCGGTCTCAATCTCAGCTCTGTGGTGACTCATGAATGTTAACTATGTGGTGAGTTAACATATTCATTTAATCCCAACAGAAAATGGATGAATGTAGGAATACTGCTATCCTTTTATCCATTATCCTTTTAATGGTTAACCGAGGCGTAGTTGTCAGTAACTAAAACAAACCTCGAAGAGCCAATCATGACAAAATCTTGATACTTTAAAATGTTTTGGTCACTTTATTTTGATCTTGAATTGTACATTATTCTTGCAGTTTCAGTGTCAAATCTGCTGGGTCCCTGAATAGAAATTTAAATCCAATCTCCTCCATAATTGACATACATAAATGTTATACCTGTGTTTCTCTCCCTTGTTCCCAGTGGAAGTGTCGTCAGCCCGGCCTCCTCACCTCTTGCTCCTCCTCGGCTGATGGGAGACTCCTGGTTTGTGCCTCTGTTCCTCAGAACGGTGTTTACATCAGTGACGCCGCCAGTGGTCAGACCGTGCACCACATCAACGGTACGGAAAATATTCGCTGTTCCCGTCATTGTTCACGTATAATCCAGTCCACATGAAAAAAATCAGACTGCACTGGTACATTTTTGTCCTTGAAATAGTAAATGCAAAAGTGAAGTGGGACATGATGTGGGTTTAGTGGGGAAATTAAATTCAGAATATCATAAAATGTGAAAAGTCAAATGTGGTTTTGGAAATGAAAATAATTCATAACATCAGAGCCTGGTCAGAAAATGAAGTGTATTTTACATTATTTGTTTACTTAAAGCAACACTGCATTATTTTTTTGGCAGCAGCATGACACAGATATGAATATATGGAAATGGAAAGTTGAAACCACACGGCGAAACATTCTCCATAGAGATAGATGCGTTTTCTGCCATACACTGGAACATTTTAAGGCATTTAAGGTGTTTTAAGATATTTTAATTGTAAATTTTATCCAAAGCAATACCATTTCCATGGCGACAATCAGCTGGAGTCTCTTCTCTGGGCCAAATAAGTGTCAGGTTTTTGAGTAAATTGTTTTTAACCTGTTTCTGTATAATTTTCTCAGGTTATCATAAAACCACAATCTCTCGCTGTCGGTTTGATCCTGAGAGCAAACGCATCGTCAGTGTCTCTGCCGACCGCTGCATCAAACTGTGGGATCTGCACAGCCACAAGACCACTGTGTCCATCGACAGGTGATATACAGGTGTTATGCAATGCACCTTAAACCTAGAATTACACACCATCCCCTGACTCTGTTCTTAGGTCTTTCAGTCTGTGTTGAATTAATTGTTTCCTACAGTTTTGTTCTTCCTTCATCAGTAATCACTCCAACGCCATCTCAGACTGCTGCTTCACCTCAAACGGTCACTTCTTGTGCACTGCATCATGGGACAAGACCCTGAAGCTGTGGGACCTGCAGTCAGGAGGTTTTAGGAGCCATGGGGGGACGTCTCTTCAGAGAGGACACGAGGGCAGCGTCAGCTCCTGTCGCTTCTCCAACGACGGTCAGAATCAAGAAGGGTTATACTGGCATGACAAATATACTTTATAAACATGATTGGTTTTGTACTAGTTTTAAAGAATATTGCATCATTTTTACTTTAAAATTAGATTAATTTTATATAAAAGTACAAGTAATTAGTCCTGGGGTTAGTCCTGGCCTTGTACCTCTTAGTCCTTTAATCCCAAGCCTTATGAAAAAGTTTTTTGTTTTGTTTTTTAATACTGTTTTAAAACTCATTGTGTTCTTTGTGTAGGTGCCCTCCTTGTGTCCGGTTCATTTGATAAAACAGTGTCTCTGTGGGACATGACCTCCCTCAGTCAGACCCTCTCACTGAAGGTGAACTTTAAATACTCCAGCACTGTCTGAAAATATATAAATTATTATATAATAATTATAAATATTGTAAATGTTTATGTTCCTCAGTAATTATTCTAATCAATTTAAATCTAATCTTTTCAGGGCCACAGTGATTGGGTGACAGATGTGTGTATCAGCGTTGACAGGAAGCTGGTTATCTCGGCCTCAAAGGTAATTACTGCTACTGGAATGTACTATATGTACATACTGTTGACAATTCTGGTGAAGTTTATCATGTTATTTGGACATGTGGGTTGCAGATGTGACAAACAGAGGTAAACAATTGTTACACACCATTCTTTATTAACATTTTGGGTGGAATTTGTTTGATGACAGAACTTTTTCATCTTATTCAATTCAACTTTTCTTTATAAACTGATGATAAACTATGATAAATATTTACCACAAGTACTATCCCACCAAAATAAATAAGAAAAACAGGAGAATCTCATATGCACTTTAAATGTTTATCTCTTTCAGGACCACACCATCCGGATGTGGGACATTGAAAACATTGATGAAATCCCGGCTGTGATGGAGCAGAAAAAAACCCAGGGGATAGGAGTTCACATACTCAAAGTAAATAAACAGTGCAGTACTTTGGTAGCACAGCGCTAAATATTCACTACTACTACTGGAGCTACTACTGTTATTACTACTACTACTACTACTACAACTACTAGTACTTAATAGTGCTTTTATGGACACTCAAATACTACTACTGCTGTTTTGACCAATATAAAGCTGCTCCTGATTATTACTATATCATACTATTATCAATATTACTACTGCTACATTTAGGATGCTCTCTGACCAAAATTAATTAATTACTTCTTAACATCTTAAAATAACATCTTAAAACTTTCTCTCTGTTTCAGTGTGAGGAGTGCGGTAAACCTTTCCCTGTGTCCAGACTGCAGACTTCAGAGCTCCTCACCAAATGTGTTTTTTGTCGCCTCAAATCTCCGCCAAGATACCGACCCCAGCCCCCTCCTCTAATGCCCCTGTGAGACCAGCCCCCTCCTCTAATGCCCCTGTGAGACCAGCCCCCTCCTCTAATGCCCCTGTGAGACCAGCTCCTTCCTCTAATGCCCCTGTGAGGAACCGTAACACCCTCCTCCTCTAATGCCCCTGGGAGAGACTCTGCACCCGGTCTAGACACCATAAGACCTGGTATCAAAGGATCATTGAAGACCAAAAACAGTATATTAGGGTACATACAGAGCTCCTCTTGTGAGCCCACTTTAGTCCTGGTTTATTCCGGGTTTAGACCCAGTTTAGGCCAGTTTAGATGTGCTCTCTGTACAAGTATGAAAACACCCTTAGAGCACTATTAATTAACATGAATGATTATATTATAACTTATTATAACTTTACTGGGGGAGTTTCTGCCTCCTGCTTATCGCCACAGTACGGCATTAAAGCTACATGTCAGATCTGTGGAGAGGTGACCCGGCTCACAGTAAGAATGCACATCCCTATGAAGGCAGCAGACCCTCCAGAAAAAATACAAAATGAACTTATATTGATATCCCATCTTCACTAATGCTACAGTATGAAACATTCAGCCACTCTCTGGGCTTAACATGACCTAAATATGATCAGAAACAAATACCCTTCTTTTTTGTATTTACAGTGTATTCTATTAAAATATTTTAATGTTTCATAATTTATTCATCAATGACATGAGCAGACAGACTTAAAATACATTTATTCATTATTAAATAGTAGTTAGTAGCTACAAATAAATGTGTATTTTACATTCAAGGGTTTCAAGTCTGAAACAGTCAAAGTTTTAAGGCCACTCAAAGCAACACAAAAATCCCTTCAGTAAACCATTCAGATTACTTAAAACAGACAAATGAGGCAGGTACATACTTGGCAATCTTTTTTTTTTTCAAAGTAGAACACATATGGCTATTAAAATATGAATTATTTACATTACAGTTGATGTTGACGTGTGTCCATTTTCTTGTAATAAATGTGACAGTGCAGTGGACGAGCAGCAAAGTAGTGTGAGTTCTTGGCATCAGAAGTCTCAAGTGTCCGTGGCAGTTGACGTTATTGCATTTTGAAGAGTCCTTTAAAACATGTCCCTGTTTTATTTCAATTCAACAATCTTGAACAGTCTTCAGTTGGGGGCCGAGACATCTTTATTTCAAAACGTGTCCAGATGAACTCCACTTATTTGTGTTTGAAGAAAGCAGTGGTGACACTTCCTTTAGGCGCACTCAGGGATTTGACTAGATTCATTTAAAAGTTCATTAATCTAAATCCTTAGTAAAGTGGAACTAAACACTGATCAATCAATCAATAAATTTACTAAATTGCGTATATAATGGTTTGATATTTTTCAGTTTTACTCCAAACTATGTAAATTTCCAACATTCTGTCCTAAAACAATCAAAAGCTGAGTGTGTGCTGCCTTCAGGGACCACTGTGATTTCAAGTACTACGTGACATCACACAGGACTGCGTTGATTACAAACACCAGGGGCGGAGTTTGAAGTGTGGATATCTCTTCCCCTCCTTCTTTCCTTTAGTCCTCCAGGTACTTCCCGGTTTAGCAGCTCTGTTGGAAATGTGGTTGTGGGCAGAGTTTAGGTGTTTAGTCCTCCTTTAAACCTCTTATGACCCTCCCCTTGCTTTATCCTCCCTGTATCCCTCGTCTCTCCTTCAATACGTGCTCTGTAGCAGACAGTAGCACCCACAGCCCGCGGGGCATTCGTCCTGGCTCCTGAACCAGGCGAGCATGTGGCTGGTGTGCCCGCCGTGCCCGCAGCTCAGGCAGAAGTTTGAGGATCCGCGCACCGCCACATGGCACACGGCGCACTGGAAAGTCAGGCGTTTGCACACGGCACACTGGGTCCCCCGCGCCTGGCTCCGGCAGTGACAGCAGTACACGCCAAACTCTGCAGGACGACAGCACAAAGGATTAGATTAACAGCAAATTAAATGAACCATAAAACTCTGTCTTATGTCTCATGTTCCCCTTACTTTTGTATATTTACTTAAAGTATTATATTTGCAAGAGAGAAAGAAACATTATCTGCCATGTGGAATTAAAGGCTTTTAATTATTTTGTACTTTTTGAGTGCCTTTTCGACTTTGTATTTGAGACTCGCCAGGCTGGCGCCACCTAGTGCCTCCGCTCAATTTCGTTTCTCTCCAGTGACTTGGTCAGGAATCAGAATACAATAGACGGTTTGCAAGAACCCTGGAAGTGCAAGTCCGGGCACCAGCCAATCAGCGAAGAGCCATACAGTCTGTGTTGTAAACGACTCCTGAGATTGAGGATTTAAAGCCGGAACAAAGAGAATGTTTGGTGAATTTTATCAAGGGGAAAGATGTTATTGTCCCTCTTTCTACGGGATTTGGGAAAAGCTTAATATACCAGTTAGCCCCGTTAGTGGCGCATTACATACGTCACGACCAAATAGCAGCAATTGGTTAAATGAAAAAAAGTACCCGTCTACCGTCGGGCGAATGAGTCCTAATGCTGCGAGGTCATACACTTCACTTCGTAGAAACCGGCTGATGAATCAGGCTAGGTTCCTACACTGAAGAGCACCAAAAAGACAATCTTTGCATATCCAAATAGCACTCCTGCCCCCTAAAGTTTTGTAAATATGCTCTTCATGTTGTAAATATTAATGTTTACAAAATAAAAATAAAAAAGGATTAAATGCAAAAGGTTTACAACATTTTCAGAGGGAATAGACAGGGATGTGCCTGGTCACCACTCCTGTTCGTGGTATATTTAGAACCACTGACCCAGTCCATAAGACAAAACCAACATATCAATGGTATGAATCACCTCTCCACAGATCTAACCTCTAACCTGGCCACCTGGTGTCTCCATGGAGCTTGATAAGTTTTTGTCATACAATGGAACATCCCAGGCAAAGCAATAACATCTCCACAGAGACAAGCAGGTGACTGAAAAGTTACACAGAGTATCTTTAAAGATTTTACTGTAAAGTGGATCGTTAGAGAAGACTGGGAATAATTTATCATAAAAAACCTATAGATCTACCAAAAGTTATATTAGTTATACATACAAGTTAAATTAAGGTTAATAAGTGTTGTAGATTACTCACCGATGCCTCTGTGTGGTTCTGGAGGACAGGAGGCAAACTTGAGCACGTCTGCCCTCTTCTCTCTCAGACCCCAGCGATGCAGGATCTCTCCATAACACTTCTTAAACTCATCAAACTGCAGCATGTTTGAAGGATCCAGCAGCCTGAGTAAAATTATATTATTACATAGTTTATAAAGTAGTGTGTAACAATTTCAGAAAAAGAAGTGCATGTTACAATATTATAAGCTTACGGTCTTTATTAATAAATGCAGGTACCTCTTGTTCATGTCATGCTGCTCTCGCTCTCGTTCTCGTGGATCTGTGAAACTCTGAGAACTGTAGCGATACTCGTCCGGAGAAGACTCACCCCACGGACTCAGGTGCTCCTGGTCTCTGCCTACAGGATAATAATATTGGAAATTCAACACAAAAACTATTACTGTGCACCTCAGACCACAAAGGGCCATGCAGGTGGACCAGACATGACTCTTACCTGGGTTATAGATGTTGGTGGGGACTGAGTCTGAGGTACTGGAGTAGGAGCCTGAAGTGAGGGAACTGGACGTACAACTGGGCTGAAAAAGACACATAGAAGTAAAAAAAAAAAAAGCATTTACAAAACCTCCACCATTTGGTCTTATTGGTCATTCAAATGTGTATTGTCCTTTGCTGTGTACGTGTTGCGTTGCAGTACTTACATATCGTGAGTGAGGAGGGAAGCAGGAGCGTGCGGAGTGTTGTCCGTACAGAGAGAAAGAGTCCACAGGGACAGACTGAGATTTGAAAACACTGCACAGCATCGCCAACGTCTGCACATCGCTCATCTGACTGTAGTGGGCCAGTCTGAGGGAGGAGAGCATCATCACACAAACAAACTCAATCTGAAAACAACATCCCAACCACACTAATTGAGTGGTTTAACCCTCTACTTGTTACTTTCATTCAAACTTTTTCATGCTTTTGAAACACATAACACCCCTGCTATACAATAGTGTGTCAGTCTGGTGCTCACAGTGTCTCCAGCAGGTGGCGCCCAAAGGGATGTCTGGCCCAGGGCGTCTCTGAGTCTGGGTCTGAGTCTGGACTCAGGTCTTGGCTGGTGGCTGCAGACGCTAAAGCCCAAACCTGAAGGTCAGATGTGAAAAAGAGCAGTTTACTCTGTCAGTTTGTTATTGTATTAAACAGGATTCATGAAGAGCTCATTTGAGGTTCATTCTGGTCTTACTTTGGCCACGTCTCTTCGTCCAACGGCGAGAGCTGCAGCTGCGTTTTTCTGACACGTTTCCTGGATGTCGTCCACGTTCAGACTGAGAATAAACAGAATGAGAGAAAATGTCAACAAAACCATAATAAATAATAAAGGTTTATTTTGCTGATAACATTTTCAAATGTGTCATCATTTCAAACCAAGGACAGGGGGCCTAAACACCTCTGTGAACGATTCACCTTTGTTGAAATAATATCTGAACAAAATGTTGTAATAATTTTAGGCAACAAGAATAAAACTGATTAACACTGACTAATCTGTAATGTGTTTTAACATCATATAGCAAATGTCTCTGTCTTGTGTGATTGTGATTTGTGTCTGTTGTCTTTAATCTGTGTGCTTCTCGCATGTTCTCATTTTACTAATGTGACTACAGTTAATATGCACCAATGATGGGTTTCCTGGGCGCTCCGGTTTCCCCCATCAACTTAGTCAACTTAACCTGCTCTTACTGACCCCTGCACGTGTTTTTTCCCCAAAACTTTATTTAATAACAATTTCCAAATATCAGCATTGTCAGGATGAAATATTTAAATAAAGACCATGTGGTTAACTCTCCCTAGAGGTCAAGCGAGTGAACTGAGGGCAGGAGAGCACCTTTGTCGAGCGAGGGCGGTGTAAGTTTTAATTGACAACATTTCTGCCTGTAATCGGGATTAATGATACATTTTTAATGATAAAATGAAAATGAAAGAAAAATAGGGGTCCCTTGAGAATATGCTGGTTAAATAAAGGTACATTTAAAAAGTATTTGGCGTTAGTTTCTCACATGTAGCTCTCTCCCAGAGCCTTGTGCACCGGCAGTAAACAGGAGATGTCTTGGATGATCACTTTCCCGGCCAGTTTGATGGGACGGCTGGCGAAATCCGACGCCTCTCGTTTTGTTTTGAAGCGTCTGGATTTCTGCATGACACAAGCACCACCTGATTAAAAGTGGTTCGAACAATACAATTACTGACAGGTCAAACTTCACAGGGCGAGACACAGAATTTAAATCATAAAAAAAAAAGTATAATAGTTTAAAATACTTTGGCATGCAACTGGACATGTGGTTTAAATGGACAGAAAATTAAAAGCCTGTGAGATAAAAGTTCATGTAAAGTTATTTTATGTTTACAACGTTATGTCAATTTGATAACGAAAGAAATAAATAAATAAAAGGGAATCACAATGAATCATTATCAAATCGAAATCACAATTTATGTCAGTGCAATTATCAAATCAAAAAGGCTCTGCAAAGAACAAAATTTTCTTTTTATTGAGAAATGTTATGGTTTATTAGTTCATATTTCAGTCTTTTCTCAAATGTTAAAGCTCCTGGAGTTGTTTACAATGTGCCCTCTGAACAGAACCCAACTTTTTAAACATATATTCTAAATCTAATGGCAGTCACGATAGTATTTTTGTTTTTTTGTTTTGCTAAAATTGTGTTCCCAAACTGTGATCTGATCCTGAAAAATGGAAAAGTGAGAATATTGTGATTTTATTCTGTATATATTGGAATATATAAAGTGTTTTTGCCATTAAAAGTTTGAAAAAAAATAAAATAAGTTGGCATAATTTATGTCTGTGTTTAGTTTTTGTTAGATTTTTGTGCATAGTTCTTGTCCTTTTATAATGAAACGAAAAAGTTAGTGTTTACAATTTGGCACCAGTTGTCAACAAATTCATTTCCCAAGAATTCTGACATTTATTTTTTATTTAAATTTGTGTAATATTTCAATTTTGTCTCTCGCGCTGTGAACAAACAGTTAGTTAGCTGCAAAATAAGCATTATATATTTCTGAATAGCAGGTTAGTTAAATTCCAGAGATGGTCCCGGACGGAGCAGACACTTACCTGAGGCTGTTAAAGGGCGGTTAGTGGTTATGATGTGACAGATTTGAGTGGTTTAGTATCCAGCTACATTTATATGATCTGAATAAAGGAAATAATGTATAGACCCAAATGAAAAGTACTATTAATCTATAAGAATTAGGTTTGCGACAAGTGAATTTCTATGGAGTTTGATCATTAAGAAGACGCAGAATTGGTCCTGATAGTTCTAGATTATTCGTGAGGTTCGAGCTGTTGGTCCTCTGTGTCTTTTATTTATTTTATTTTATTAATTGTTTTATCATTTTTAGCTTTATGCATGTTAACACTTTTTATTTATTGTTTTTGTTTATGATTTACTGTCTGATATTGTATTCATTTGTCTGTGCAGCACTTTGGAAACTGTCATGTTTATAAAATGTGCTATATAAATAAAGTGGATTGGATTGGATCGATTGTTGCTTTCTGGTCAGTTAAAATTTAATGTTTTAGAGCCAATTTCTGTAATGATCTCTGCTAATATATGGGTTATATTGAAATTAGTAGGCCTCTGTTTAGAACACAGCCCAAAAACTGCCTCCTTGTTCCAGGATTTGAGTGTCCTGACGGGAGATTCTTGCATCAAACAGATTAGTTGTTCATAATGAAATGTATGTTTACACTCTCCTTGTATTCTTATAGCTTTATTATGCCTTTGGGATGTAAGTTATCTACCGTATTTTCCGCACTATAGGGCACACTTAAAAGCCTTTAATTTCATGAAAAAACGACTGCGCGCCTTATAATCTAGAGCGCCTTATATATGAATTTATTGGGGTGTCTTAGTCCAACTTTAGTAAACTACAAAGCTTGCAGCATTACGGCTCCCGTAGTCAGGAGCATTGGAGAGTAATAGATACTGTGATTCCTTTTAATATCAAAATGCACCTGTCAAGAGACACACTTACAACGCCCACTTTAAACTCAAGACTATTATAAAGTTAAAGTGCGAGCTGCGTGGGAGCAGTGGATGAGAGAAGGTGAACACACATTCACCAAGACAGGGAGACAGCGCCGAGCGACTTACGCCACGATCTGCCAATGGATCGTGGACGCCTGGGCTAAGGATCAGTATCAACGGTGGTCCGAGCTTTCATTCAGTCCTGATCACATGAGAGTCTACGTGGGCGCCCCTCTGTACCCGTCCCAACACTCAGTCCTAGTTTAGTCCTGGTTTAGACCTGGTTCAGTCTTAATTCAGTCCTGGTTCAGTCCATATGTGGTGCAAAAGTCCAACATTGCAGTTTAAGTTACGGAAACGGCCGATATCAGTTTTTTTCCATTATTTATTTAAACCAAAGTCGCAGATTGGCAGCCTCATTTGCATCAGTCTACCCCAGGGCAGCAGTGGCTAGAAAAGTAACTTAACTACAGTGTATGGCATGATTAAAATACAATATAACAATATATATTGTAAATATAATCTACAATATATATCACTTTTGAGTGTCCAAAAACATAATGAAAATCAAATGTGTAATTCCTACACTGTGATTGGTTAAATGCACCTGTCAGTCATTCAGAACAGGACCAATAGGAGGAGTGGGTGGGGAAAAGTAGACACATGTTCCTGAATTTGAGCATAGAGCTGCATTAAACATAAAAAACATTGAACTACTTTATGAATCTGAATATCTGTCCTGGTTTGTAAGGTCAGATCACGAATGCGTTTTTACAAAGTCACATCTCGCTGTTCTATTTAAACATTTTATCTTAAATTCAGAGCACATAAGTGTAGTGGGCGTGATGTCTTTTAGTAGACGGTTAAGATCAGAGACAGTTTTAGTGGAGGAGCAGACAGGTACCGGCCAATCGTGAAGGGTTTGAACAGACCAGCGGCGCGACGCAGAGAGAGGGAGCTTCTGATTGGAGGAGAAGGGAGGGGGCGGGACACAGCGCAGGGCAGTGATTGGACAGACAAAGACAGAGGCCAAACACAGACACCAGTGAGACAGAAAGAGTTTCACAGAAATCAGTAAAAGACCGACCGACCCCACAACAAGCTGCGACCAGCGGTGGAATGACTAGGTACTATGTTAGATAAACAAATAAGTAAAAACGGCTAAGATTGTAGATTAGACCTCTACAGTCAGTGTATCATTCGTTCATTTGTTTTTCAAAATAAAACCAAAAATCAGAAAACAAAAAACAACTATCTTCTTCAGTATTTGTTTCCAAAACCAAAATGAAAAAAACAAAAAAACAAAAAACAGATAACGATTCGTTTTTTCAGTTTTCAATTTTGTGTTTAAATGAATAATAGAAAAAACGGATAACGACCGTTTCCCATTTCATCCAATTTTGACCCATATGGACTGAACCCAGGACTGATCCCAGGACTGATCCTAGGACTGAACCCAGGACTGAACCCAGGACTGAACAGGACTAAACCAGGACTGAGTGTCGGGACAAGCCTGGAGATGCGACCACGTAGACTCTTCAGTCCTGGTTCAGTCCCGGTTCAGTCCTGGCTCAGTCTTGGTTCAGTCCTGGCTCAGTCTTGGTTCAGTCCTGGTTCAGTCCCGGTTCAGTCCTGGCTCAGTCTTGGTTCAGTCCTGGTCCAGTCCTGGTCCAGTCCTTGTCCAGTCCGTATGCAGTGCAAAAGTCTGGCATCACAGATTAAGTAACATAAAAGGGAAACGGTCGTTATCCCTTTTTTCCATTATTCATTTAAACACAAAATCGAAAACTGAAAAAAAACGAATCAATATACGTTTTTTCATTTTGGGTTCGGAGACAAATAATGAAGAAAATTGTTGTTTTTACGTTTTCTAATTTTTGGATTTATTTTGAGAAACGAATGAACAAATGATACACAGATTCTCTACAAACATGTTCTCAAACACATATGATTCTTGTTTTAGTTTATTAGTTCAGTTTCAGTCTTTTCTCAAATGTTAATGCTCCTGGATGTTTTTTTTTTTTTTTTTTTTTTATACGAACAGAATCCTACGAATCAAAACATAAATTATAAATGCTTGTCTAAAAAATCCTGCAGCCCTACACAGTTTATATGGTGGCTGACTGTAGTCTGCTCTTACTTGTTAATATCATGAAAATATCATTTTTTTCTTTTAATATTATACATGAGAATTTCATCAAGTCAAATGAAAACTAATTCAACACTTTTCTAATTTTGAAATATAAAATCAGAACTGCAATCTGGTATTCTGACCTATTTAGTTTTATTTAATTTTGTTTTGTTATATTTTATTTTATTATTATTTTTATTTATTTTATTTTCAATTTATTGATTTTCAGTTTATTCATTTTCATTTTATTTTCAATTATTTTTATTTTAAATGTATTTAATAATTTTTATTTCAATTATTTTATTTGCTGGATGTACAGATACGTCATAATGAAATACAAATATGACACAAGAAAACAAATTACTTATTAATCCAATTCTCTGCATTACATTTTGGTTTCTACTATCCATACATTTAAATGATCATGATGACCATGTGTGCAAATAAGTAGCAATTAAAACAGTACAAAAAAGTAAAAATGTATACTGTATTTAGTATTTAAGTAATCTGAAAATGTTCAAATGTTTTAGAATAAATACGTCAAATTAACAGAATATTTTGTTGTTTTAAATTCCACCCCTGATCACAGCCGTTCCTCCCTCTTCCACTCAAGTTAACATAAGAAAAACCACGTCATGAAACCAAGTCACCTCCAAACTGTGAACTTAAATCAATCAGTTAAGACATTTAGTGAAGAAATAACCTTTAAAACACCAGCAGCAGTCGCCTCCACACAGGAAGTTACCCACAGTGAAGTTATAGTGTTTAATATTGAGCTAGTAGGGCTGTGCAGTTTTTAATGTCACGATGGAGATTCAGCCATTTCTTACGGTCAATGATCAATATGTGGTTTAGCAGCAACTTTCAGACGTTTAAGGAAGAAATTTAACTATGTTTTGTTTTAAATGGCAGTGACGTTTGCATTTTTATGTATTTAAAAAGGACAAACTGCAATCAAACAGATAACTGTGATTGATTTTACGATTATAATGTTGTTACCTCCTCAAAAACAGACCTGGAGTTGTTTTTAATCCGTGTATCATTCGTTCATTCGTTTCTCAAAATAAAACCAAAAATAAAGAAAATGAAAAAAACTACTATTTTCTTGATTATTTGTCTCCAAAACCTAAAATGAAAAAACAGATAACGATTTGTTTTTTCAGTTTTGTGTTCCATCCATCCATCCATCCATTTTCGTCCGCTTATCCGGGCCGGGTCGCGGGGGCAGCAGCCTAAGCAGGGACTCCCAGACTTCCTTCACCCCAGACACGTCCTTCAGCTCCTCCGGGGGATCCCGAGGCGTTCCCAGGCCAGCCGAGAGACATAGTCCCTCCAGCGTGTCCTGGGTCTTCCCCGTGGCCTCCTCCCGGTGGGACATGCCCGGAACACCTCCCGAGGGAGGCGCCCAGGAGGCATCCGGAACAGATGCCCGAGCCACCTCAACTGGCTCCTCTCGACGTGGAGGAGCAGCGGCTCTACTCCGAGCTCCTCCCGTGTGACTGAGCTCCTCACCCTATCTCTAAGGGAGCGCCTTCGAGCGCTTGTATCCGCGATCTCGTCCTTTCGGTCACTACCCAGAACTCATGACCATAGGTGAGAGTAGGAACGAAGACTGACCGGTAAATCGAGAGCTTCGTCTTTCGACTCAGCTCCCTCTTCACCACAACGGTCCGATACAGCGACCGCATCACTGCCGAAGCTGCACCGATCCGCCTGTCAATCTCACAGTTTTTGTGTTTAAAATAAATAATGGAAAAAAGGGATATCGGACGTTTCCTGTTTTCGTGACTTAAAACTGCAATGCCCGGCTCGAAAACAGGACTAAACCAAGACTAAACCAGGACTAAACCAGGACTAAACCAGTCTCAGTCCTGGTCTGGTCCCGATCACCTGACAGTCTACGTGGGCGCACCTCTGGCCCGTTCCAACACTCAGTCATGGTTTAGACCTTTTTGGTTTAGACCTGGTTTCAGTCCTCGTTCACTCTGTATGTGCCACAAAAGTTGTCACAGAAAACGGGAAACAGTCAATATCCGTTGTTCCATTATTAATTTAAACACATTTATCTGTTGTTTTTTTGTTTTCTTATTTTCTGTTTTATTTTGAAAAAAAATGAACGAATGAAACAAGGATTATTTTTTGTTTCATTCACAAATGTCTGAATAACCCTTTATTATTTGTCTGTCTACATCTCCAAAGCTCAAAATGCTCTTTTCTACCTTGTGAAGTGGTAGTTTTGAAGTTAACAGTTCCTTTTACCTTTTGTTCAATAGACTGGCAAATCCAGGGGCTGAAATTATCCACATGATTCTAGTGAAGGTTTATGGAGTTTACAAAAGTAGTGGAGAACTTTCTGTATTACCAAAGGTGGAGGTGGAACAGAGTTTTTCAGTTTGAGAAAAGAATTCAGTTTAAATATGCAGGGTTTGTGTGTTAAACATGTGTGAGTGAAACAAAACACAACTCCAGGCCTGTTTGTGATGAGGAAACATTACAAAACAACGTAATATGTGCCCTTTAAATATTATTGGGATTTGGATTGCTGTGATGTGATTTGAAACTCAGAAATATCAGGAAAACAGAAATCTTGATAAATAATTGTTTGTGCTGTGACATCTCCCAGCCCTGTGTGTGCTGTGGTGTTATGGTCTCACCCGTTCTTTGTAGTAGAAGGAGGAGATGGAGACAGTTTCTTTGTCTGAGCGCGTGGGGCTGCTGCTGTAGAGCCTCTGAGACTCTGAGCGCATCTTCATCGGGGTCAGGACACTGGAGTGGTAGGCCGACAGTGCAGACAGAGACCTAAGGACAGAAGATGGAAATGTAAGGCAAATATTAGGGAAAGATTACAAAAGTACAACAATAGAGTTTATTTTAACCTTTATTGTAATCTTGTTTTAGTTTAGGCTAGGTCACTTTATTCATACCCGAAGGTAAATTTGTTTTGCAGATTTGAGGGGCTGGTCCCACATTTCACATTTCATTCATCCACATTATATACAATAAACACGTATAAAAAGACAATTACAAAATAAAGTGTTACAGTGCTCCAGTGCAGAACGGCTTTGTTCCATAAATAATTAATTAAATTCATCCATTACATCTGGCTAAGATCACAATAAATATTAAATATATAGAAAACACAGACGATTTTATCCAAGATAACATACTAAAACTGACAGATAAATAGATTACAATTTATTCATAAGTACGATAGCAGCTGGAACAAAACTCCTTTTAAAACGATTCATTCTAGATCTTAGGACTGAAAGCTTCTGACCAGAGAGAATCAGCTGAAACTCTGAGTTTAGTGGAATTTGCACATCTTTTAAAATACTCTGTGACATCCTCTGTTACTGTCTTGAGTACAGAGAGTCCAGGCTCCTCTGAGGATGAACAATCACTTTTTTCGCTCATTTAACCAACTGATTTAGGTCTTATTTTTAGCAGAGATGCCCTCAAACCATGAGACCAGTGAAAAAGTTAAAACTGATTGCATAAACGTTTTATAAAACAGTGTCTCCATGGTTCTATCTACACAGTAGAAGGACAACTTCCTCAGACAACGAATGCAGTACAATTATCGTCAAAGCTCAATTTAGAATCAAGCTACAAAGATCAAGCTGCATATTTAAAAAGCCTTAACCTAATTTTAATTCTCAACCACAACAAAATCAGTCTAAACCGGTCCAAACCTGTTCATACCCAGTTTAGCCAAGTCTAAACCCTGTTAGAATTAGAGCCCAGTCTCCACCAGTCCAAACTCAGTCTGGATCAGTCTGAACCTTGTACAGACCAGTCAAAACCAGGTCAGAACAAGTCAGAACCCAGTCAAAACCAGGCCAAACTCAGCGAGTCCCAGTCCAAGCCTTGTTCTGACCAGTATGAACCCAGTATGATTGGTCTGAACCTGCCTGGAATAGTTCAGACCCGGTGTTGACCAGTCCAAACCTATTCTGGACCTGTACAAATCAAGTCAGATCCAGTCTAACCTACCTGATGACTACTAGGGATGTAACGATATCCAAATCTCACAGTACGATATTATTGCGATATTTTGAACAGGCTGATATAACTGTAGATGGGACACTTTTTCCTTTTAAAATACCTTGACAAGATTTTGGTGTGAATTATTTCTGTCATAATCCCAAGAATTCAAGTAAAAAACATATTTCTTCATGTTGTTTGCACTGAAATGAATCATGGGATATGTAGTTTCCCATGTTCATAAACTGTTGATACTGTAAAACCATGAATTTAAGCAAAGAAACTTGTGATTCGATATATTGTGACAGCCCACGATATTATTGTGAGGCTTTGGACGATACGATATTTAAATATTTCCGTTATTGTTACATCCCTACTGATTACAAAATTGTTTTAAAAAAGAAAAAGTTCTGAAAAAGGCAGCTGTTCACAAATTTTCAAAGGTAAAAAGGTTGTTTTCAAAAAGCATATAAGTAAATGAGTTTTGTTCATGGGTTTAAATATAATACAAAACAAGAATCATCTAATATTGTATCTTTTTCTCATATTGTGCAGCTCGATCTACAGTAAAACAAAATAAAAAATGAACGCAGTGTAATATTATGAGCGTTTCCGTAGCTGATACCTGGGTGTGGGCTCCGTGGCCGGGACAGAGCGGTGCATTGTGTTTGGCCGAGTGAAATACACCAAACACCCAGTGCCACAGAAACGAGCGCCGGAGGTACGAGGGAACGGGATGTTAGCGTCCTGGAAAATAAAAAAAAAAGCATAGAAAAGATGTTAGTTTATAAAGACGATTATATTTGGATGCATTGTTGTTAAATGCAGTTTTACCTGGTAGGAGCCGTAGGTGTTTGTGACTCGAGGAAACACCTGCAGAGCTGAAGGAACGAAAGGCGGAGTGCCGTCCTCCTAAAAAATGACACAGTGAAGTTCATTCATACAAAAGCTTAGTGATTGAAGTGTCTTGCCCAAGGACACAAAAACTGTCTCTACGGGCAAGAGCTGGACATGAACAGAAAACACACACCAATATCTTTATAGAGGTGCACATGGAAGGAGCAACTTCAAAAATGAAAAAAAAAAACAAAAAAAAACTGAGATGGCCTATTTCCTTTTTTTTCTTTTTTCAATTCTAAAGCGCTAGACTTGAACCACCAAATATCCAGCCTACAGGCCTACACCACTGTGAAGGATCTGCTATAGAAAGAGTGTTTATGCAAAAATTCGGAATACCATGATCTGTATGTCCTTTATTATGTTAAATCATATTACTCTAGCCAAATACAGCTGAAATACTAACATATAATTATTACATTTTAATATAGATTAATTCTCCTACCATATCAGACTCGAGGCAGGAGACCAGCTGTCTGATACAGGGCTCTAAACAGTTCTGGTTCCTCTTCACTTTCTGTAGAGACGTGTCTGTGAGGGTCTGAGCAAAACAGAGAAATTATCATTAACACATTATTTAAATAAACATTTAGTTTAATTGATTGATTTACTGACATGACACAAATTATACATTTCTAGTGAACTCTCTCATCCTCTGTCCTCAAACTAACAAATTCAGCTCGTCTTTTAGCGTGGCGAGAACTCTTGCCTCAGTGAGAAGGTTTTAAGTTTGACTCCCGGGTGTTTCTGGTTCTCTCTGTATCTGGGTCGGTTTCCTCCTCGCATTCCAGTTTCGTCCATGAACCCCAAAACATGCACAACAGATAAAATCCTCCAGCTAAGGTAGTCCTAACCAAGACTAGCTCAAGATCTGAAGATGCTTCCCTGAGCATTGCTCCTGAAAGGTCGCTCTAGCAGCACTAAAGAAGAAGTCAAATCCAGAGCAAAGATTTTCCTACACAGATCATAAAGTATACATTTTGGTCTAAACTAAAGACCACCTGCACAGTTACCTTGTATATTTTGCTCTTCATGGAGTTGGGGATATTGGTTGGTGAGACAAACTGAAAAGTGGGAGCAGCGTTGTTCGGATACTGAGCTGGAAACTTCACGACCAGATGAACCTGATGAGTCCCAAAGTGAGCCGTGACCACACAACTGCAATTCACAGCGTCCATCTGAAACAAAACAAAACATTTTTAATACGTATTGGGGAAAAACAATTCAGATTAAGCAGATATATTTTAGACGAGACCAGTTATGTTCTTCTCTTACTTCGACATTGACGTTTCTGATTTGTAGATTGACCAAAGAGAACTCCTGTTGCAGAGTTTGGGGCAGACCTGCTCCCACAGCAGCAGAGTCCAGTTTAGAGGCAGAGGGCAGTCGGTCGTCCGGGTCTGAGAGGCAGAAGCATTATGTAGAAATGATTTATACAAGCAAAAAATCTATCTTTAAAGAGAAGGGAAGAATTTTATATTTTTATATGGAAATTGGTTTTCAATCAACATAACTGAGGTTAATCCAGGTTGTGTTTTGCCAAAGAAGACAAATAATGACTGAAATCTTAAATGAGCAGGTTCTATCTCATCCTTCCTGAGTGCCAGAGGGTGGGGCTAAAAGCAATGAACATTTCCTTCACTTATGCACCATAGAATCATGGTTTCTTCTGTAACTGTGGCCATTGCCCCTCACATCATACCCCCCTCCTCACTGCGTTTAAACACTCCAAATTAACTCTTTCACAGGTGTAATTAAAGGTATCTTTAGCCCTCACCGTGTGTGCTCTCCAACAGGGGCACTGAGCTGTGAGGAGCTCCTGGTTCTGGAGACAAAGGTTTCTCTGGAACAAGAGTCAGGTCCTCCATCAGGTCGTCCACATCGCTCACACACAGCTGAAGACACAAGAGAGAGACTTTTTACAGTAACAATGATGACAGAAAATAGGAGTTTATTTCACAGTTTTCACTTCTTTACCCTCTGAAGCTGTGGGTCAACTCTCCAAATCCTCAAAGTCTGATCTCTGGACCATGTGACCAACTGATAGTCCTTAGAGCCTGAACAAAGTATGTAGTTTCAAAGTTGCTAAGTTGTTAAGTATCTGTGTAAATATTTTTGATAACCTTACTTTTTTCAAACAACAACTCAGTGCTAAATGTAAAATAAAAACATTAATTCATTGACTGAGGTGCCTGTACCTTCTTTCTGTGGCCTCCATTGAAACTCCAGCACCACGTCGTCATGTCCCACAAATGCGTGCACCGGGTTGTTCAGTTCCAAAGTGCTCCACAAGAGGAGGCTGTTCTCCCTGCGCAGCTGCGGCACCATCACTGTCACCAGCCCGTTTGAGAAGGGCTGAAGCCACACACAGGTTTAAAGGAGATTCAATGGAAAAGCAGTCTTTATTCATGCTTTTTTAAGGATATATTTGGGACCTTAGGGTGTGTGAATTTGAACCTTACAGCAGGAGTATCTCAAGATGGACTGTCATGAGTTTGTGAACTAACAAAAATCATGAGAATCCATCTTGCTGCGTAAGGAATAGAACAGGACCAAATACAGAGTTCCTACAGGTTTCTTTAAGTTAAATTTAAGTATTAAGTATTTTTAGGACCTTTTTAAGACTATTTATATACAAACTTAATACCTATTTCATGGCCTATTTTATGAAAAAGAAATATGGGAGAGTAAAGAAACTGTTCCGAATAACTCCAGCATAAAATGTGTTGCTCAGTAACGTAAAACCAACAATAAAAAACAACATAACAGCATTAATCAGGCTTTGTGTTCTGCTGAGATTTCCTTTGATTTTATGCTTCTTCTTTGCTTGTTTCTTGAGGTGCTGTAGCGCTCGGAGGATTTTGACCCAGGGCTGAGTTGCGTTCTTAATTATTGGTTAAGCCACTTTATTTAGACTATGTTATTTAATGGTGGTTGACAATTTAAACTTCTGAGTAGAAATGTGATACAGAAACGTTACATACGGCACAAATTTTAAGACCTAGATATAAAAACTCAAGACTTTTTCAAGTATTTTTAAGGTATTATTTCCAAATTCATAAATCCAATGCTTTTAAGACTTTTTAAAACACCGCGGGAACCCTGCAAATATGGACCAAATCAGAAAAAGTGTGAAAGCACCCTTAGAGACCCTTGTATAATTTAACTGGTCAAACTCACTGTGTATCTGGCCTTCCACACTGGCACCTGACACGACAAAATGTTCAAGTACTTCCTTGGTTGTCTGTAATCCCAAAACTGTCCGGAAACAAATCAAACACAACATTATTTATCAATTCTTCCTCTGCATATACAGATCTCTAACTGTTTTTTGTTTTTATTTTGGATATGTGACCATTTATATTTTTGCTTTTTGCTTTACTTGCACCTCACCCTGACTGAGTTGTCTTGGCTGGATGTGGCGAAGATAAACTCATTGTCGGGATGCCAGTCGAGGCCGTGGATCTTTGACAAATGAGCAGCGACATACTCTATGGCTGTGTTTGGTTTCTGAAAAAGACAATACAAAAATTATCTGTAAAACCATTGTAGAAAACGAAACCAAAGCCTAAAAAGCATTTATTAAATACAAAAAGCATCAATAGCGGTGTACATGCTCTTATATGATCCTGTAACAAACGTCTGGAACTGAAACTTAACTAGTCTTAAAATAAAAATTAAGATAACCTATGTAAGTATTTTTTAATCTTTATTCAACAGTTTTAATCTGGTTATGATTAAGTAAAGTACAAGGTACAAGTATTTTGAAAAAAACGCTCTCACCCGTTTGTCCCAGATCCGAACATCTCCATCGTGACTTGAGGCTAAATAATACTGATTCTTCCTATTCCACTTCACCTGAGAGGCTCCGGCTGAGAACAAGAAAATAACTATTTACAATTCTAAAATCATTCAGCAATAACTATGAAACTACTGTGTGTTTATAACAGCCAAATTCTGAAGATGGAAAATTATTTGTCTCACCAACTGCTGACAAAGCGACTGTTGGTTTCCGAGTGTCTCTGAAATACAATAAAATAGATGGACAGATAAAATAATTAAACAATAAACAGTATGCATAATAAAAACTTGACTCTTTTACCTTGTGTCCCAAATGTAGATAAAAGTGTCGACTGAACTTGTGACCAAAAGCTCTGGTTCAAACCAGGACCAGTCCAAGTCACTGCATAAAAACAGAAAATACACTATAATTTCACTTTACCTGCCTAATACTCAGAGTCAGGTAGTTTTATGTAATCACTATTTGTTAATGTACAAAATAAATTATAAGATACAGAAAAAGAAGAAAGATTTATAATGTAATGAATCTATTTATCTATTTATCAATTTAAGTAATTAACAAATTTAAAAAGAATGACAGAGCTTAAATGTAAATCGAAAATATCACTGAATTCTTTGAGCCTCTGAGTAACTAATCCTTTAAAATTATATGGTAATTGTGTATGATAAACATATTAGCATTACACTGGAAAACAGCATCTTGTTTTCATGTGCAAAAAAATTACAGTCGAATTAAATCATGAATCTTTGAACATCTTGAAAAAGCTGAAATGTTACCTGATGACTCTTGTGTGTCCCTGTAAAGATGTGTGCACCTCTCCACAACCATCTCTCCACGAATACAGATCCACGCGTTGGTTACTCTGGAAAATTAAAATAAACTCCAGTCCATGTTTAACTAGTTTTGATCAACATAACTTTATTTATAATGTGAATTGTTTTCTGACCGAAGCAGCGAAGATATGAGCTTCTGATTTGTGCGGGTTCCACTGGACAGTCCCCACGTCCCATTTGCTCTGACGCCCGATTTTCCTCTGGGTTTCTGAAGGACTCTCCAGATTCACCATGTACAGGAAGCGACGCCTACAGACAACAAGCAACAACAATATCACACACTGCACAGATGAGGATGTAATATGATGAAGCCATGAAAAAGTAGACACTTTAATCTATCTAGTCTAATCAAGGAACTTCTGTCTGTGTGTTTGTTTGTGTGTTTGTCTGTTCCACGCATAACTCTCGAACCACTCATCCGACCAATCTCAAATCTGGAGTGTATCATCCTAATGGGTCGGGTGTGTGCATTGCCAATTTTCATGTTAGGACAAAAAATGCCAAAGATCTGGTATTACTTACAGGGCCCATCTCATGCAAAATAACTCTTTTCACATTGTATCTTCTGCACATATACAAGCACAATTTGGGTTTTGGAACATCCATTACACAACAGTTATGAAATCTTACTGATTTCTTGGAGGCAGTCACAGACCAGGAACAATGAAAGTCTGACTATTACTCATCCCCCCCGCCCGTCCTGAGAAAGCACAGGCTCCGCCCTCCAAACGTGACGTAGGCTCTGAGTGAGCCACCCTTCCTCCGCCCATCTCAGGGAGGGAGGGGGAGACAGACGTGTGCCCTGATAGTGGTAGGAATAAACTTTTATTTATCATGGAGATACAGCGCGTTCAGCCGCATATGTTGGACCCGGAATCAGACGAGGACTTTGAGGTGCACAAAGCTCAAGCACCGCATCGACATCAGCTGAACATTACTAATTGGTAAACTATTAATAAACACTAGTAAATAAACTTATTATATCGTGTACACTGCGGTGTATAACAATACACTGAGGGGGGCAGGTGCAAAGCGCTTTCTGCTACGTCAAACGAGTCATAAGTGTAGCTGCCGCGTCATCGTTGTAGCAGCTTTAGTTTGTTGTCACGTGGAAGTGTGGCAGAAATACGCTGCAATTTGTTTTAAAAAAAAATGCCAAATCAATCTAAAAACCACATATACAAGGCCTGCACATCACTCTTAGAAGGTAGAAAGCTCTGGAAAGTTGATTTTGCATGAGATGGGCTCTTTAATGAAGTTCAGATGAATGAGACTCACCCTGAGAGCACAGCGTGTTCCCCCAGACAGTCCACAGACATGGCAGTCGCCTGAAAACACAAAGACATGACAGTTATGATGATAATGATAATTATAATAATACATTTAGTTTTTTTCCATTTTGATTGTGTTGTCAGGGAATTAAATGAAAAAGCATAAAAGTGACATAACACCTCTATAAATTTACATACAGAAGTACCCTTAGTATACTGTATACACTGGTAAATTAAAAGTTACTATAAACTATAAACTGTAAACTATAAGGCACAAGTTTGACTTTTTATGTATTGATATTTTTACTCTTATTTGATTTTACTAGTTTTAGTTGAGTGGAGTTAAACAGAGCTTTATTTTATTTTATATCTATATTCCTCATACCAAAAACTCACCCTTATGTAACCGATAATACTCCCTACAACTGTACAACAACACCCTATGCCCTGTCCATCATCATATCATATTATTGTTGCACTGTGTTCCTTATGATCTCTTGTATATAGCTGAGATTTAATATTTTATTACTTATTTTTCAATTTTTATTTTGATTTCTACATTTACATTTATATAATTAAGCTTTATTGACACCAGTCTCTTGCTCTTTTTTGTTACTTATTTAGAATTCTTTGTTATTATATTATATTGCGATGTGTGAGCTATTGTGTCCAAATAATTTCCTTGTGGTTCAATAAAGTTTGTCTAAGTCTAAGCACTTTGGAAACTGTTTTGTTCATGAAATGTGCTATATAAATAAAGTGGATTGGATTTCAATTCTTAAATTTGTAACTCTGATGGTAAAAACAGACAGAAATAATGGATTTTGTTCTTGGGAGATTCGGTTAAGTTTGTTTTGTCATTTTGTTGGGCAGTAAACCCACAAATATGTGAGAATCACGTGAATAAAGATCATGGTGCATTAAACTTGAGAAAGTTCAGATGCTCCTCCTGCTCTGTACATGCTGTTATGTTAAGTGTGAGGTCAATTAGGTTTTTGGCTGCATAAAAAGGATACTTCTTGCAATGTTTTATGCGTAAAATGCGTAAAATGTGACTATACTTTAACACAGCTCTGGAAATCAATGGTATGAAATGGTACTTATGCTAGCTGCTTTAGCGCGGTGCTGTTCGTTGCATTTACTCTAAACACTGGTGCATATTTATTACATCTGTGCGGTTCATTATTGAGCTGTTTCGTTAGTGTTTAATGTTTAAATAAATACCTGTGCGTCTCTAAACTCCACCACCACATTCTCACTGCTCCAGCGCGCCGCCATCTTCCATCCGCCACCATAAACAAAAGTCACGTGACACTAATACGCCCGAGCCCTGTCAAAGAAAAAAGAGGTTTCACTAAAGATGATTACTTTTTACTTCATTATTTATCTAATTGTAATAAGTTTAAAATATAAAAAGTAATAATACATCTAGGCACTGTCCCAATACTTTAACAATTTAAATATGTATTAAAATAATGTGGAGAAAATTATCAAATTATCCTCTCAAAGTCTATATATACACTCTGTGGTCAAAGTTATAGTCAGAAAGTCTTTGTTTGACTCTAACCGGCCCGTTTAAACTAATTTGGAATAACAAAATAAATATATTTTATCATTTTACCTCATGCATGGACTAAAGATGCAGCGGTTTTTATTTTAAAGGTGTTTTAAATGACATTTTTTGTAAGGCAACTTCACTGTTTCATTGCTTAGTCATAACATAAACTCTTACCAGTCTTACAAGCTTGTCAAAACAATTATATTTACTGTTTTGTTTTTTTTGTTTTTTAAGAAATACAATTAATATTATGCAGAATTGAGTTAAGCATTTTGGTCTGGCCCTCCACAATATTTTTTGTTTCTCATGTGGCCCCTTGGGGGAAAAAAAAATATTTTTCACCCCTGGTCTAGACCAAAGACTGTTTAAAAAAAGTAATAAAATAATCTGTATAAAAAATGTATATAATGTATAAAAGAAGAAGAATAAAAGAATTCATATATACAGTCTATGAGCTAGACATCTGACTAAATCTGAAAACTTTATGTCAAAATTAAAATGCAAATACAATTGTGATATATTCATTTAATTTAAAATACATTCAAGAAAACATTTAATCGGATGCCTTTTAGCAAATTTAGTATGTAACAACAATATTTCTATGTACTTAACGTAATTTAAATACAATACATAGAAATTTTAGAAAGGGACTAAAAAAGGTTAGTCTATATGTCAACATTAAAATGCTTATAAAAAATTGTACATTGTAAAATGGCAATAATCTGCAAAGTCCAGTTCAAAAGTAAAAAATAAATAAATAAATAAATCAATCAATAGTGAACATGTTTTTCAAACCACTCCTTAATAAAACAAGCAAATCTAATAGAATGTAATAAAGGTAAATAAATAAATGAAATCTTTTACTAGCTCACTAGACCTAACTAAGAGAAAATAGGCTGGCTTTTTTTTGAATGATTTTAATTTATTCCTATAAATTACAGCTTTGAAATTAACCCTTTTATACCATATGTGAATATATTTTTATTCACTGTTGTGTTTTTTACGCATTTATTTTATTTTCATGTGAACTGTATACTTTTATAAGGTGTCGTTCTTGTTTGTATCTGAAAATCTGCAATACTGTAAAAAAAAAAAAAAAAAAAATACAAAGTTTGACGCGATTAAACCACGTGATTGCTCCATGAGTTCTGATAGGTCCGTTCCTGCTCCGTCCCCCAGTCCAACATGGCGCCCAGCCTGGTGGAGCATGTCGTTGCTGATGCGGGAGCTTTTCTCAAGAAAGCGCCTCTTCAGGTAAAATACATCCACATTTAAGACTTTAACTAGTCAAATCTAATGTATATAATTCTGCCCTGTTGTTGTTGTCATGTGTCGCTTTCGTTAATAGCGTAGTTACGAGAGGAGATGTCAACAGGCCCCATCTGATCTGAGCATCTGATCTAATACAACAATTATTTCTGAATTCTTTAGGTCGTTTTTATAACAGATGAAGTGAATAGTCATCCGAATTGCTGTATCATGTTAAATACGAGTGTTTTTGTGTTTGAAAACCAGTAATGCACTACACGTGTGATGTTAAAGAGCCCTTTATTTGGCCAAAGAGGGCGCTGTTACATAATAATAATTACACTGTACATTCAAGCAGATTTCAGAGAATTTGCTTTCACTTTGATGCTTGTCACAAATAATAACTTCTATAAATGTTTAATATGAGTTAGTTTGTGTTTTATGATAATCTATTGTGTCAAATTTCATCATGTAATTGTCACAAATAATAACTTCTATAAATGTTTAATATGAGTTAGTTTGTGTTTTATGATAATCTATTGTGTCAAATTTCATCATGTAATTGTCAAACAAGTTAAATTTAGTTTGATTTTCCTTAATACAATATGGATTTTTTTTTGTCTCTCTTTTTAGGAGATTGGTAAAAACATCTACACTCTGAAGGATGTCGTGGAGGAGATCAGGGACAAACCCACGAGGAGGAGTTTGGCCTTTCTGCCGTACGAGCTGAAGTTTAAAGAGCCACTGCCTGAACACATTCGGACAGGTACAAGTGCACTTAAACCAAATGCAAGACAATAAAGAAAAGGAAGACATACCTGCTTATAATTCGGTGAAATTTAGTCATATATTTCAGTGACGTAGGTGACATCTTGGTCATTTTAAAGTTGGGTGAAAAACAAAAGATAAACTATTCTTCTAAAGTACAAATTTTCACAATAAAACAGTGTAAAAAGTACTCTACAAAAATGTGTTAGTGACGATATTAAGTTAAAAAATGTAATGGCTACATGTGATAATGTCTTTTACTGTCTTAAAAAAATTAGTTAATAGAGTAAATGCACTATTATGCCCTTTTATTTTTATCTCTCTCCATCTGAGTTGCCAGATTGTGAGAGATTCAGACTTTCTCTTGTAAATAATTTCTTGTTCTTTTTGTTGTTCAGTGACGGAGTTTTCCAAAAAGACTGGAGACTATGCGAGTTTGTCTGCCACAGATATCAAAGTCTTGGCTCTGACGTATCAGCTTGAGCTCGAACACGTGGGCTTCCAACACCTGAAGAAAGAGCCCGAAATCAAGGTTCGTAAATGTCTCAGTTATTGTTTCTTTAATGGTGTTTTTCATCCTGATGTTTTTACAATGATCTGAGCATCATAAAAGAAGGATTCTGACTGACAAACTGATCACTGTGAGCTTCTTCAGTGTAATGTATTTCCATTTCTTTGTTTTAGGTCAATATTCAGAGCACAAAACGTCACCCAGAGACACCAGTCAATGTTGCAGGGTTTCACTTTCCATCAAAGGTAAAACAAAAATATTAAACATAAAAAGCTGTAATTCTAGCCACAAGCTTTTAAATGAATTCACACCTTTTCATTGCGTACGTAACATACCAAAGCAAATTAGATTATATTTTATTTCTGTCTTTTCAGAAACCCAACAGTTCCAAAACGACCCCTTCTCACACTCGGACAAACTCGTGTTCAGAGCCACAGACGGAGGCGGAACAGACTGAAGAATTCAACAGTTTTAATTTCTGGAGAGAACCGCTGCCTTCACTTAATGACGACTTGCTCAGTTTACTGGTGAGAAGACTTTTGCATGTAATTGAGTAAATATTTGCAGCTATACTTTCAAATACAAATTTGCTGTACTCTTCCCACCACCGCATATACTGTACCACTCAAAAATACCTTTGCCTGCATCTTACTGTGAGTTGGGGTACCTCTCTACAGATCTGACCTGTGACTTAATATGATTGTCCTTGGAGATTGATCTCCATGGAGACATGTTTTTGATTTGAGTAGATTTAATTACTTTAGATTTATTTACTTATTGAACCTAGGTTATTTCATTATTGTGTGTGAGTTCTGACTTAGAGTGCATTGAATCTTATTTAAAGCCAAACTCTTTCCTGCAAGTGTAAAAAAAAAAGTCTATGCAATTTTTTATTATTAAAATATTGGATAATTTTATGTCATAATTCTACCTTTACATGCTCTACAGAGAATTACATTTCATTTCATTTAATAAAAAAGAGAGAGTAAGTAGCTCACATTTTATATTAAATAAAATGTTTTTTGTAATATCACAGGAACCAGTAGCAGAGGATACAACAGAGACCAAACCAGAGAAGCCTCCGACAGAAAAACAGACACAATCTCAAAATAAACCCTCGACAACGACGACTAAAAACGGTGAAGAGTTCAACAGTTTTTACTTTTGGAGAGAACCACCGCCTTCATTTGACGAGGACCTGCTCAGTTTACTGGTGAGACTCTTGAAGATTTAAGATGATTTTAATGAATCAGGCTAGTAAAATACCTTCTCTTTAATATATTTACTTCTATACAGTGCCCTCAAATCAACATCTCAGGATCATCTATAACTGCACAAAAATCCAGTCTATAATTATAACCACTTTTATTTAAATGGAAATTGTATTCCTTTATATACAGCTGTAAAGGTTCGGGGTGTAGTAACTTGTGATTACACCAAATTTTCTTGTCAAACTCCTTTTAATTTATAGTATTTTATTTGTTTCTTCTCTCAGTCGGACAGTGGTGTATCTGAGTCTAAACAGGACTCTGCTGTAAGTGAAGACTCAGACGAAGACAAAGAGAATGAGCCAGAAGAGGAAGAAGAAGAAGAGGAGGAGGAGGATGACGATGGAGGAGGCTGGATCACTCCTAGTAACATCAAACAGGTCAAAATGGACACTGGGAACTGGGGCGAACCTGAAGACGTCACAGTGGGTTGTCTCACTACTGACTTTGCCATGCAGGTAAGAAACAACAATGAAGACTGTATCATTTGTATATTAATTATAATTGTACACTACACTGTCAGAAACTAATAATACATTTAGTTTAGTTGTGTTTAAATTCAAATTATTCATGTTTTAAGTGGTTATTTTATTTTTTCCTATTCAAATGTAGGAGTAGGACTGGACGATTTTGCTTAAAAATAAAATTGCAAATTATTTTTTCAATTTTCTTTTTATTCCTTTCTTTACCAAAAATGTTCTGCAAACTATAGAATATTGACAAAACTAAAAAAAAATAAGTATAATTGCTGTAATTAAAGTTGTAGTGCAGTAAATTATAAAATTCTTTTGGTCGAAATTTTAAATATTAAATGATCTAAGACATCTGTACTAGTTTAAACAAGATCGAAATAGGGCCGCGAATGTAGTAGTATTATTTAACTTGAAATGTCTTTTATTGTTACTTCTATTGTTTTCTTGACTTGCTCAGAACGTGCTGATTCAGATTGGGCTCCATGTTCTCTCTGTGAACGGGATGGTGATCAAACAGGCTCGAAACTACATCCTCCGCTGCCACGCCTGCTTCAAGTCAGTATCAGCCTGATTTCAGTTTAAAACAAGAGGTAATTTTGTGTTTACTTATGTATGTATGATGTTTCCCCTCTTTTTTCCCCCCCTTCAGGACGACGACTCACATGGAGAGGGTGTTCTGTTCTCACTGTGGGAACAAAACTCTGAAGAAGTTGGCGGTGACGGTGAACGAGGACGGCTCCATCCAGATGCACTTCTCCAGGAACCCCAAAATGCTCAACCCTAAAGGACTGCGGGTAAAGAGAATAGTTACATAGTGCAACTTTAGTAAACATTTTAAGCTTGTAACTTCTCTGGTGGAGGGTCTGTCGCCTGCTTTTCGCCACAGTGATGTTGTTGCTTTGCCGGGTCCTGCAGTGGTTTCAGAGTTTTTGAAATCAAGATCTTTTGACTCCCATCCACAAGTCCTTTCCAATTTGTCAATTTTCAATTTTAATAGCTAAATGTAAGACGTTAAATCTCCATGGAGACATGAAGGCGAAGACTCCATGCAATAAAGACGTGTAACTGAAAAATAAAAAGTTTAATACCAAATTGTGATAAAGCCATAACGGTTGCCACAATTACACGAGAGCTTTAATTCTGAATAAAAATAATTTCATTGTGAATAAAAAAATTTTCCACTTTAAAAAGACCATGTAAACACTTAATTCCTAATGAAAATGATTATTCAAAATTAAACTAAATTCCGAAGTAAGTGGGTGGTTTATTCTGATTTTAAAGCCGAATTAATTTATTCCTTGATCATGTAAAAGTTTATTCTTAAAAATTATTTCGGTCGTTCAGCACATGCTTGTTGGGTCGCCCTTCTGACGCGATCCTGATGATCCGGCTTCACCAGTCCTGGCTTCGGACTTTCATCCACTGCTCTTTGGATTTGCGAGCGGGATGCGGGAGTGAGCTGAGGTAGAGCAGCTGTTGACTCAGTTTGTCTTCTTCCTCCCTTCTCCAACACTCTTCCCTTCTCCTCCTCAGCCGACAGACGTAAAGCGTAATGAGAGAATTCTCGAGCTGCTGCTTCATTATCATCAGAACGACTGCGGAAAAAGTTAGGATCCGTGTTTGTGTCCGTGGCGTAACAACAAATTGAGATGACAAAAAAGACGGTAGCAGCTGAAGTGTGTGTTTTCTTCCGGTCGACGTAAATATGTTCGTGTCCGTGTCCAATCAGAACTGTTCCCTACCCCGAGACGTTGAGTGGAATTAAATAAAGGCAATTTAACCTGTTTTCCATGTAAACATCAATTCAGAATTATTATTTCCATATAAACTCCAAGGAGAATATTTTAATTCCGAACTATTTAATTCAGAACAATTAATTCAGAATTAAAAAACATCATGGCCAATCTCCACCAGAGAAGTTACACTGTGCAAAACTGAAAGAAATGTAATTTAGATAAAGGAAATATTAACACTATAATGTTAACCTTATTATTTAAATACCTCCTGAATTTGTATTTATGAGTATTGATGATATTTATGAGTGAAATCTCTCTCTCCAGTACTCGCTACCGTTGCCTCAGGGCGGTAAACACGGAGATAACCCTCACCTGGTGGAGGACCAGCGCTTCCCTCAGCAGAGACTCTCCCGAAAGGCACGTCAGAAAACAAACGTGTTCGACCCCGATTACGTGGCCGGCTCTTCCCCCTTCAGCCAGAACGACATCTACAGCCGCGCCGCCAACCTGCACCTGAGGGACAGCCAGAGCGGAGGGGGGCGCCGGAGAGCCAACCCCAACGCCTCACGCAAGAAGTTTGTCAAGAAGAAGTGAGCGACATGTTTGGACTAAAAAACAACATTCACTAATTTCTTTGCCATTTTCAAATAACTGTATGGACTCGGTTTAAAGGTGTATCATGGAACTTTTCTAGTGATGATGAAGGATACATCATCTGTTGTATCCATGGAGACGTTACTGCATATTTGCTTTGCCCGGATTGTTAAACAGTCTGGTATTAAACTTATCTGACATTTATTCAATTACAGGTGTTTTTATTGCATTACAGAACATGTGAGCAGGGTCACCATTCCACAGATCTGACCTGTAGCTTGGCCTGTTGGCTTCACCTGCTTGTCTCCGTAAGTTTAATGCCATATTGTGGAACATCCTAGGTCCAGGCGAAGCAATAACATTTTTATTTTTATTATTTATTCAATATTTTAAAGGGGTAAATCAATTGAGAACACCTCATTTGCAGTGACGACCAAGAGGCAGAATAAAACGGCACAGACTGAATACATTCACGTCTCTATTCACTGTTTGATGTTATGTTTGATGTGTAAGACAGTGAAGCATTCGTCCATCCACTTTCTTTCACTTATCCGGGACCGGACTCCCGGATTTCCTTCACCTTGGACAATTCCTTCAGTTCCTCCGGAGGGACCCCGAGGCGTTTCCAGGCCAGCTGAGAGACATAGTCCCTTCAGCATGTCCTGGGTCTTCCCCCGGGGTCTCTCGAGGGAGGCACCCAGGAGGCATCAGGAACAGATGCCCGAGCCACCTCAGCTGGCTCCTCTTGACGTGGAGGAGCAGCGGCTCTACTCTGAGCTCCTCCCGTGTGATTGAGCTCATCACCCTATCTCTAAGGGAGTAAAACTTATTTCAAGTGCTTGTATCTGCGATCTTGTCCTTTAGGTCATTACCCAGAGCTCATGACCATAGGTGAGGGGAGGAACATAGATTAGAGTTAAAGTATCTCTACAGTGAAACATTTGCAGATTAAAGATATAAAAGTGTTCATGTGCAATGATCCTGTAAAATACTCTGGATGGAGTTTTTAAAGTCAACAGAGGTAAAAATGAACTAAGTTTTAAAACAAACCTCTCCATGGGTACATGCAGAGAAGTTTTATAGCGCACCTTAAAGATAATCAAACTCACTCTACAAATATTCCTAAAAGTCGAACCTGAATTTATATTATGTTTGTTTATCATGAGATTTATTCTCAGTTGAATTAATCATAAAATGTGTTAAAAATGTCTGAACTCAGCAATTTGGACCTAATGTGAAATGTCTTTGTACTGACCCATTGTTATGTTCCAGATTTGCCAATTTAATGCACAGATTGGGAGTAACAACACACTGTATTTTTCAATGATAGTGGTTAAAGCTGTATTGTGTAACTTTTATCTTTTGACGGACCCTCCACTAGAAGTCATTGCTTTGTCTGGAATGTTTCACAGTATGGCATTAAACATTTCTGTCTTCATGGACACACACCAGACCAAGTTACAGGTCAGATCTGTGAAGAAGCAACTCCGCTCACAGTTAGAATGCCTGTCTTTCTAGGTATTTTTAAGCTGTAAAACCAAATTGTAATTAAATAAATGTAAAGTAGAGCTGTTTAATGTCATACTGTGGAACATTCCAAGCAGAACTGTGTCATATCCACAGAAACAAGCACGTGATGGACCCTCCACCAGAAAAGTTACACAATACATCTTTAAGTATGTAACTTAAATACACTTTATATTACTATGAATATGAAAATAAAAAAATTAAAAATACAATCCTTTTTTTCTTGTGGAATAAAACTTTATCTGTCCCAAACCGATCAATCAATACATATTTATAATTTACACATCTTAATTAACAGTTAATATACAGAACTTTTACATTAGGCCCCTTTTATTTCATGTGACGAGTTTAACGATGAGCCCGAGCAAAATCAGGAAACTAGCAGGTATAAAAATACCTGCATGCATTCATCCAGAATAACAATTTAGCAAATCCTGTACACAATATCACCCATCTCTAGAATCTGGTATGGAAAATATAAAATTGTAAATAATATTAAAGGGGCACTATGTCACTTTTCTGGCGGATGAGCTGCCACCTGCTCGTAGTGCGTTACTGCTTTGCCTCAAAATTTCCACAGTATGGCATTACATTGACCTTATCTCCATAGAGACAAGGAGGCGATATCCCTAGGTTAAGTTACAGATCAGTTAAGAGTCAGAATAATACACGTTTTTCAAGGTTTTCTTTTTGCCATATTGCAGAACATTTCAAAGTAAGACGATTACCATGGAGACGAGCAGTTGGCAGACCCTCCATCCAAAATGTTACATACAAATATGCTGTATTTTTCAGACTGTAAGTCGCTCTTTTTTCATGGTTTGGGTGTTTCCTGTGACTTAGACTCCGGTGCGATTTATATATTAAAATAAACTGACAGCCGCGAGAGGCTCTAGTCTTGTGTGTCAGTATCTGCTGCTCCTGTTATTCGTGTACCACTGTCACTTGGCTCTACTGCACATGTCTCGTGCGGAAAAAGCTGTTGTCCTGCTGCAAGTAGTGAAATATTCAGTCGAAAATGGTAATCGATTAGCAGAAACAAAGTTTGGAGTGAGCAAGAAACCTGTGAGGGACTGGTGGAAAGTAAGAATGGAGAACACAGCTTCATAGCAACCGGGAGGGTGCACCATGAAACTTTCCTGGAAGTCACTGGATGGATTGACAAAGCCTGGAATTTAGTGACACCGAAACCATCCTGTTGGGATTCAGAAAGGCTGGAATAATTCTAAATGGAACTGATGCTGAGTCTGACAACAGCTACACGGAAGAGGAAGCGGCGCTTCGTTTACCTCCAGAGGTAAGTTCTATGGGAGTTGCTCAGAACTGACACCAAGGATGAAGAATTCAATGGATTTAGTTATGTGCAATGAAACAGAGAGATTGGTAAACTTGTTATGTTCTGTTGTTTATGCTATAGTTATTTGAATAACTGTTCATATGTGACGTTAACATACCAAACACCTTCAGTCTGTTGTTCTCTGTTCTGTTGTTATTACTTTAACTTGCGTTTGATGAAATGTCGGTTCCCGGTCTCTCATTTTATAAAAATTAATTTCCCCCAAAAAATGCGACTTATAGTCTGGTGCGACTTATATGTTTTTTTTTCTTCATTACACATTTTTTGGCTGGTGCGACTTATACTCCGGCACGACTTATAGTCCGAAAAATATGGTAACTCGTTCTTTACTTCAATAACTCCTCTATATCATCGTCTAGATCCTCCTCTGGTTTTCCATCATCTGAAGGACCAGGGTCAGGACCCAGGATCTCCTCCAGTGTGGGGTCTGAGTCTAGAGCAGAATCCAGGACTGGTTTAGGGTCTGGTTTAGGGTCTGGCTCTTGGTCTGGTTTGGGCTCTGGCTCTTGGTCTGGTTTAGGGTCTGGCTCTTGGTCTGGTTTGGGTTCTGGTTGAGGCTCTGGTTGAGGGTCTAAAGCAGGCTTAGGAGCTTTGGGATCTTGGACATGTGGGTCTAGACTGAGACTGCCCAGGTCCGCAGTGAGGTCCAGGTCTGAGAGCAGAGGATCTGTGGGGTCTGGAATCTCTTTTTTGGGTAAAACAAAGTCCAAAGGTTCAATGATGGAGGAGATGTCGATCCGGCCCAAGTTACCGTGTTTGTACAGCTGAGTGGGAGAAACACCTGAGAGAAAAAGAAAGGGAGGAAGAGGGTTAGAAAATAATTAGAAAATAAGTCTATTCATTAATTATAATAGAGTAATATAATTGTTTTTAAAGCGGAAACAAATGTGGTGAAAACTATATGCTTGCGTGCTTTTAAAGAGAGAGGTCTACAGTAAAAGTGTAAATTGTTCAGTAAATTTATATTGAACGCCTTTTTAATAAGTAAAAAATATAATCGAAACCTGAGATTGATTAACATGAGGAAAATGATCACACAGTGAAACAGACAGCAGTTAAAACATTAGAATAAAAACTGAATAAATCCAATATATGTAGCAAAATAAAAGAGTCGCTCTCTGGTGGTCAGGAGATAAAACCTGTGTTCATACCGAGGATGAGGGCGAGTTGATTCGGGGGGAACAGAGTTTGGAGGCAGCGGTTCAGAAACGGCAGCAGATCTTCAGCGAACGCACAGCAAAACTGGACGAACAGCGCCCTCTCTTTGTCACTGAAGGCAGTCTGCTCCGCGCGGTGGAACACGATGATCTGACGGGTCACCTGAAAGGAAACAGGAAGAGAAGAGTATTGAGAATTATTCAAAACACAAACATTACATTAGGCTTTAGTCTGTAGTCATTATTCTTTCACTTCATACTCATTCATAGTTGTGGTACGGAACTATTGTATTAAATGAAACAGAAAATGCACACTAAAAGTTCTTGTAGAGGTGCAAATGCAAGGAGCAGCGACTTATAAATGAAAAAAATGCAAAGCACACTCAGATGCTAGATGTTACAAATCAGGAAGACGAGATGATTCCAAACAGCACATAGGTATGCAGTCACATTTACTTCAGTGGGTTTGATCACAGTCGGTCGATGAGTTCAGTGTCGGCAACTACACCGGAATTTGTCATTGCATGTTTCCAAACGTCTTCCTGGTTTGTGACGTGAGTGTGAATAGAGCCTAGTGCATTAACCACTGAGCCACTGTTACCCCATTAACTTTAGATTCAGAAAGTTTGATTTTGTAAGGTTGGTCATGGTGAATGAGGAGGATTGTACACAGTTGTTTGGTCATGGTGTTAATTATTCTGAATTTTATATTGGCAACATCCCTTAGTTTAGTCCATAATAGTCATAAAAGTTAGTTAAAGTTAGTTTATCTTACCAGTTTGAGTGCATCCTCCAGTGTCGTTGTCACGTCTTGGGCCAGCCCTAGGGGGCAGCAGAGTCTCAGGTCGTTGAACGCTGTGAGGATGTGATTCAGGAAACACGCTAAAGGCTGAAAGTCCAGGAGGCACATGGGGGGCTGCAGGGTCCCGGGCTGAGCTGTGGGCTGGACAGCAGGAATCGTCCCCCCGAGAACCGACGGAAACGAAATCAGCGTGTACAAATTCATATCCTCCTCAAACTTCTCCACTGCCTCTTTCACCGATTTCCGAAAAGTTTCAGCTGCTACCCGCTGAAAAAGTGGAGGTAACAGTCCCCGAAAATCTGCCCCAACTCTGCTAAACGATAAACCGAAGTACATACACTGGCCTAGTAAGGAGTCAAGCCTGCTGCCTACTCCTCTATCCAAATCTCTCTCTAAAGTTGCTAAAAACTCTGACACTTTTTGAACAACCCAACCGTGAAAAATCGCAGGTTCGTTCACCGACGCTTGTCCACCAATAGGAGGCACTAGAGGGTCCTCGTCTGAGAAAATGGCGCGGTATTGAGTTATGATATCGAACAAATGGACTCTGCACGCTTCTATGGTTTTGGTGATGTGGAAATAGGGGTCTTCTTCGGGTATGGCGGAGAGGATGGAGTTGAGCCAGGTGCTTCGAGCTTGGAGGAATTTGACGCGTAGCTCGGCCTCGGTGAACACGTCCATGCGGCGGAGGAAGCCGATGACGCGGAGGCAGACGGGGAGCTGGGAGTTACTGCGGAGCTGCTGGAGGAGCTGGTTTAACATGAGCTGAGTCGACTGGCGGACTTCACGGACTATTCCCTAAACAGAGGAACAAAGTGGAGACCACGAGTGAGATTATGATTAATAATAGAGCTTAACCAATATGTTAATATTATTATTATTATTTTTTATGAACGATGCAGATACTGATAGTTTGGGCTGATATCTAAGGCTGAGTTTTAATATTTCCCCCAATTTCTGTAATTTAAATGTACTATACAGTCACCCATGGCCATTTCTTTTACCACACACCTGTGTAGTCATGTTTGTTATTGCACTAAAGCGTTCAAATTGAGCTTCTTTAGGCAGCATGTTGGCAAAAACAAAATAACAGCCAGCAGAAATGTATTGTCGATAACCAATTTGCCAAAAAGTGCAGATATCGTTCCGATTTATTGGTTCGTCTATCTCTAATTAATAGTAGTCGTCCTGTATTAGGGCTGCTCGATTAGGGATAAAATCATTATCACGATTATTTTGGTCAAAATTTAAATCACAATTATTCAAACGATTATTTTTTTAGTTACACAATGAATTTATTCAACATTTCTCTCTTAAAAAAAAACAAAACACTTTGTTATTGATAATTTACACAAAACTTTCAAATTGAACATAAATATAAGCTACAAATATGAACCTTAGAGCAGTTTTGCGATGTATAAAACATAAAATGAATAAAATAAACTTTGAACATGAAATAAGGCACAGAAAAACATAAATGTATCCAAAATAAACTGTATCTCTAGTTGTTTTACAAAATATTCAATACAAAAACAAAATAAATATACTTATTTAAGTTAAGCTTTAAATTGTTTCAACTCGATTATATGAGTTTGGAGATCCTTTGACACACTAATTGAAATCGCGATCAAAGCTCAATTAATTGCACAGACTTATCCTATGTGATTATTTGAATAATGGTGATTGTGATTAGATTTGCAATTTGCATGATTCAGTTCACAGAGCACATTTTAAACTGAGAGAAATTGTAATTTATTTTTACCTCTACATTGACATCTTAAAAAGTACTGATCCCAAGCAATTTTAATAATATTAAGTCCCGGTAAGTAACACTTTCACTATATTTTTGTCAATGGATTTTACAGGTAGAAGGCTGAAAGCAAAACATAAGAATAGCGATTTAATTACGGACACTAAAAAACTCAACAAAAAACTCTAAATGTGTGCTTCTTTCCCCAGACTTATTCTAGGACATAATGAGAGTTAACAGAAAAGAAAACTGTGAAATTTTTGTTATCTCTTGTACAATAATATTCACTAAAAACATTAAGATTTTTATGGTAAATTATTCTCACTAGGGGTGTGCAAAAATATTAAAATATCGATATATTGTGTCATTGAATTTGATGATTATAGTATCGATATCATGGGCTGCTCCATTGATATATAGCCAAGAATATTTTCAGGTATATTTTACAAATTTATTTTCTGTAAAAGCTACAGTTGTGTTGACATTTTCATAGTTTTTTTTTGCACAAACTTCGTAGACTTTTAGTATCACAGCCACGAACGATTTCACGGAACGATATTGAATCAATTTGAAATACTGTATATCGTACTGAATCCTATTGGATTGAAAGTGCACTGTATCGAAAAAACGTATCGTATCGTGGCCTATGTATCAAGGTATGTATGGTATCGGCAACTTCTTAATAAAACCCAGCCTTATTTCTCCCCCCGGCTCACCTGTATGACGGGCAGAGAGGAGTGCTTCTTGTCCAGTCTCTTCACGTACGCGGCGAGCTCCAGGGCCTCCTCGTAGTAGCTGTTCCTCACACAGGTGTCCATGAGTTGAGGGATCTCCAGCACCTCCAGGATCTCCGTGTGTCTGTTCAGGGTCAGACTGTTCATACGGCGACTGGCTCCGATCTGCTCCGCCTCCTTCATGAACACTCTGGAAAACACACAACCAAAAACAAAGGAAGTCAGGGGAGGAGGGGGTAAAGAGGTAACATGTGTAGAGCTGCACAATACATAGCAAAAGTATGGGTATTTTGGTTTTGATTTAAAACAATAATCGATATCATAACATCCTCTATATATCGCAATGACACCAAGGTTCTGTCTATATTTCCAAAGCTCAAAATGCTCTGTTCTACTCTGTGATGTCATGTACACCACCAAAGTTTTAGAACACCGCACTTTTTCCAGTTTTTTTACTGTTTACTGTTGACCAAAACAGATTCTAAACTTGTGATTCATGAAAGTGTCCATCTTTGGCAGATATAACAGCTGAACACACTCGTGGCTCGTTCTTTTTACAATAGAAATACTATTGCAAAGACTAAAGCAGGACTAAAACCAGGACTAAACCAGGACTAAAGCAGGACTAAAGCAGGACTAAAGCAGGACTAAAACCAGGTCTAAACTGGGACTAAACCAGGACTAAAACCAGGTCTAAACCATATCTAAACCAGGTCTAAACCAGGACTAAACCATGCTGTGTGGACGTGTCTCCTCCTCTTCTATCAATAATATTTTTTAATTTGGTTAGGTAAAGTCTGGGCTTTTATTTTCTTTTAGCAGACAAAATATCTTATGTTACGATTTCCTCGTCTTTGCTTCTCTACAGCAAATCAAGTAATCCAAAGTATTCAAATTACGTTACTCACTTTAAGAAATTTAATGGATTACGTTACAAACTACATTTTTGGGGTATGTAATCTGTAATCTGTAGAGGAATACATTTTAAAAGTCACCTTCCCAACACTGAATATGGGACTTTTACGCATCTCTGTGACTACTTCTTGCTCTTTTTCACCGACCTGCATTTCTCTCCGAACCGGGGCAGGGTGTCTAGCAGGTGGGAAACGCTGCTCTCCACCTGCCCGAAGTCCCGGTAGATGTGGTGGGTGCAGTCCGCGGTCCGGATGAAGGTCTGGTAGTTGGAGAAGGCGAGCTCCCGGGTCTGCTGCAGGATCTGTGCCCGCTCCTCCGCCAGTCTCTCCGGCTCCCTCCGCAGCTTCTCCACCCCGAAGGAGCTCAGTTCGGACAGATACGTGGCGAAGTCCGGGTTGTCTCTCCAGCTCTCCGGGAAACTGTCTTTAAACACGGACGCAAGGATGCTCTCGTCTTCCACGTCAACTGCTGCCACTGCTGAGGCCATGTTGGATCTGTTTAATCCTCTTTTTGGTCACTTTATTCCGCCTAAACATGAAAATAAGAAGTTAAAATTTTGCTAAAGTAATCGCGTAAAGGATACATGTAGATACGTCGTCATTAGCATGTTATAGGGTAAAAAGCTGGCACTTTTGTGTAAACAAAAATCACCTGTACAACCACTTCCTGCATCGTTATCCACGTCTTCTTTGGTAGTGATTGTGTCGGAGGTACTGCCACCTACTGGACAATGTTGTTAGTGAATACATATTGTGTTATTAAAATATAATAAATAATAAAGATAGGAATACATTGTAAACAATATAAATATAATTTTTTTTTGCCATAAGATTAATTAAAATTAATTTTTTTTTTTTTTTTTTTTTTTTTGTTAAATAAATGACGAGAAAAATAAATTACTGACAGTGTGTATAGTGCAGACCTGGGCATTGTACAGCTCTGGGGGCTGTTTGACTTTGACTGCCTCGTTTAAGCTAATTTAGAATTACATTTGATCATTTTACCTCATGAATGGACTAAAGTTGCATTTCTTTTATTTTAGAGGTGTTTTTAAAATGACATTTTTAATAAGGCAACCTCACTTTTTCATTGCTTAGTCATAACATAAACATAAAATCTTACCAGCTTGTCAAAACAATGCTATTTACTGCTTTCTTTTTTTCTTTTTTTTTTTTTTCCATAAAGAAATACAAATAATATTATGCAGAACAGAGTTAAGCAAAGTGTGTATTAAAATGTAATAAACACATTTTAAACAAGGTCAAAGTAAAGTGCAAAATATACATCTGAAAAATATCTTACATCACATGAGAAAAACAAAACAAACAATAAATAACATATAAATAAATGATAAGAATTAGTTAATAAATAAATAAATACACTGGTACTGGCAGTATGGCCTGACTATCAGATTCAGCCCAACTAAAATGCATTCTGGAAATCATTACAAGTTGCTATTTATTATTTTTATGAGATGTCCTAGGAAAATAATTGACATAGCATCTAATCAAGGCCCAAAGATGCAGAGATATACTATTACCTTAATGTAAATGTATGTAAAACCTATTGAACTGGTCTTAATTACATTTTAATATAAACTAAATTGTAATAAAAATTAAGCAAGCAAGGTTTTAATTCAAAAGCTTTATTCCCAAACCAAGGCTTCTTGAATAAAAGAACCAAGATAAAACAGGCATAATTATTTTTTTATGTAATATATTTTATAGTTTTGAAATAACAGGTAATTTTAATTTTAATTTTAATTTTAATTTTAATTTTAATTTTAATTTTAATTTTAATTTTAATTTTAATTTTAATTTTTTCTACACCAGGTGACGCTAAAACCGAAAATCCAGATAGAGCGGCGGAAGTGACGTAAAGTGTGGTCCGGTTGCTAAGCTGCAGTGGAGCAGTCAGAGCCGTCAACAAGTTTCATCTGCACCTTTTTCTGCACAAAATCTGCTTTTTTCACGCTTAAAAATACACTTTTAGGACCTCTCCGATGGTAGACGACACCCGAAACTCACAGGTAAAGCGATCAGATCTACTTTTATCTCAAACTGATACCTGCTAAATGTAATAAAGGTGAGAATAGTTAGCTAAAGATAAAACGTAAACACGGATTGTTCGGGCTTTTTGGCACTAAATAAAATAAATAAAGAGTCTTGTGCAATTACATTAACGTGTTTATAAACTGTATTGAGTCGGGCTAATTATACAGTCAGCTTTGTAACATGCCATTAAACATCTATAATATCTAACCAATTTGCTAGATAACAAAAACTAAATAAATAAAATTGTCAAGAGGCATTTATGATAAGGTTTCCAGACGTCCCTATTTACCCGGGACAGTCCCAGTTTTGAGCTCTGTGTCCCCTGTCCCAGTAGATTTATACAAAACCAGTGATTTGTCCCAGTTTTATACAAGAAATGTCCAAAGTGTCCCTATTTTTGACCAATTTGATCTAAACCAGGTCTAAACTAAGAATAAACCAGGTCTAAACCAGGACCAAAACGGGACTATCACAATTTTTGACTAATCAGATTCTCACCAACAGTAACAAGGAGGATAAACTGTCATTTGTTTAGCCAAAATACAGAAAATCGTGACAATAAAGCAAAAAAATCCAGCAACAGAAGTGCCTCAGATTATGTTGGAATGAGAATAAAGGTTTGCAAATATATCGTATCGTTTAATGTGATGATACAGTATTGATATCGTGGGATGCTGTATCGATATATCGCCAAGAGTATTTTTCTGTATATTTTGCTAAATTATTTTGTTACAGAGCTACAGTTTAGTTGTTTGTTTAGTGGAAGGAAACTCGTTTATGCGACACATTTGACATTTTCACTGTTTTGATGATTAAAATGTTTGTGTTTCATATGAACTTTGCACAAGAAGTGGTTTAACAAAGACTTTTAGTATAACAGCCATTATTTAGACTTTATTTTTTCTTGAACCGTATCGAAATGATTTGAAATATATCCACTCGAAAGCTCACTGTGTCGAGATATGTATGGTATCGTGGCCTATGTATTGAGATATTTATCGTATCGGCAACTTCTTAATGATACCCAGCCCTATGCAAGAATGCACAATTTTACAAGCTCTTTTCACAGTTTTAATTTTACCAACCATCCCAACCCGGGTGTTTCCCAGTTTTGAATTTTGAATCTTGTCACCCTAATTTATGGTGTTTCAGGCATAGTGACATTTCAGTGCATAGTCTAAGCTCCCACTTCATCTGTTTTGGTAAATGGTAAATTTAAAAATAACTTCATGCTACTAACATAGTCAACCTATTATTGTTTGCAACTTATTAATACTAACTAACCAACTCATGGGCGGGTTTCTTCCTGAGCTGACCTGTAAATGAATGGGAGACAGAGACCAAGGGCAGATAGGTCAAAGGAGACTTGATGAACCTGGTGTCTTCGCTTAAAGATGCATTGTGTAACGTTTCTGGTGGATGTTTGTCAAATGTTTTTCTCCACGGAGATGTTTTTGCTTTGTCTGGAATGTCTCACAGTACGGCAGTGAACCTTTCTACCTTCACGGAGACTAAACTGGACCAAGTTACAGGTCAGAGTGCAGTGTTCCAAGATGCAGAACCTCTTTTGGTCACTCGTCATTCTCCTACAGAGCCATAAACCTCTGGAACAGCCTCCCCCATGAAGTCATATCATGTACAAATTATGAAATGTTTGCACGTCGCCTGGCCAAACGACGGCTTTTAACCAAACAAACCTGGACACATTAATCTTACCTGTATCAATGCAGCATTATGAACTGTAAATATGTAAATAGTGGATGGATGTGGTCACTGGGACTGAATGGGGCTAGTTTTCCTTATTGTCTGACCGGATGATGCATTGTATTTTATTTTACTGGCAATTTTCCTACAACCTGGCACAAACATATGACCTTTTTGTGTAGCTCAATGCTTTTATGTGCATTGTTCCTGATAAATAGATAAATAAACAAATAAACTAAACTAGACACATTCAGAACACCTGTTTCTAGGTATTTTTGAGCTACAAAACCACCCGTAACTGAATAAATACAATAAATAGGTAGAGCTGTTTAATGTCACATTGTGGAACATTCCAGGCAGAGCAATGACATATCCAGAGAAACAAGCAGGTGACGGACCCCCAACCAAAACACTGTAAACATTAGTGCACCTTTAATGCTTTAATTGCTGTTTTCTGTTGAGAAAACCATTTATCTTTTTGTCCCCAGACATCTTTTATCTTCCAATTCACTGAAATGTCACTTATCTCACATCTAACAATTTTACACACACTAGACTGGGCAATATGCCGAGCTATTGATAATAATAATAGAAGAAACTTTATTTTTGTACATCTTTGGCTAAATTATGTATCAATAGTGTCTCTTACTCTTGTTTATATTATGCGATTTGTGCTTTATTATGTTCTAATTTGTCTGTTTGAATGAATGCTGTACACTCTGGGCCTCTCGCACCATTTGTTCAGTGTGGTTTTTATACTGCAAATGGAAACTAAACTAAACTAAACTATAAACTAAATTAAACTATAAATTAAACTAAATTAAGCTATAAACTAAATTAAACTATAAACTAAACTAAACCATAGTTTAGTTTAAACTAAAGTAAAAACTAAACTAAACTATACTAAACTATGAACTAAACTAAATTAAACTATAAATTAAACTCTAAACTAAACTAAACTCTGAACTAAACTAAACTATAAACTAACCTATAAACTAAACTATAAACTAAACTAAACTATAAACTAAATTAAACTATAGTTTAGTTTAAACTAAACTATAAACTAAACTAAACTATAGTTTAGTTTAAACTAAAGTAAAAACTAAACTAAACTATACTAAACTATGAACTAAACTAAATTAAACTATAAATTAAACTCTAAACTAAACTAAACTCTGAACTAAACTAAACTAAACTAAACTAAACTAAACTATAAACTAAACTATAAACTAAACTATAAACTAAACTATAAACTAAATTAAACTATAGTTTAGTTTAAACTAAACTAAAAACTGAACTAAACTATAGTTTAGTTTAAACTAAACTATACTAAACTATGAACTAAACTAAATTAAACTATAAATTAAACTCTAAATTAAACTAAACTCTAAACTAAACTAAACTAAACTATAAACTAACCTATAAACTAACCTAAACTAACTAAACTAAACTAAACTAAACTTTAAACTAAACTAAATTAAACTATAAACTAAATTAAACTATAAACTAAACTAAACTAAACTAAAGTGTAGGAGTATACACTAAATCTGCACTTGCATCTCAACATTTGCACCTTTTAACACATTTGGACAGATGTTATTATCATTGTCACGATAGTCACACTTATAATATAAATGTATATTGTCGATCCTTTGCACACACTGTAATGTTTTTTTTGTATTGTTTTGTTTTTGCAGGTGGAGAGTCCAGACTGAAGCAGAGACCTGTGTGTTTCTTCAGACCGACCCTGATGCTCTAACCTGCGTCCAGTCTGTGATTGAAAATGGCCGCTGTCGGCTCCACCAAGATCTCATGGAGACTGCGTGAGTACATTTCAGAAAGTTTTATTGTCCAGACTTACTGCTGCTGTGTTCTCTGACAGCCAGGATTTTACCCCAAGGCAACTGTGGCTTTAGAAGTAGGTTTCCACCCCAGATTGTAACTATGAATAGACTGAATGAATGAATAATGCATCAAACTGTGAAGCAGCTTTGGATTGTTCTGAAAAGCCTCATAACAGAGAGATGGCATCCTGCAAAAAAGCTTGGCCAAGATTTATGATATAAACACTTAAATCTATCAGAAAATGACTTAAAAGTAGTGAAAAGGTCTGTCCATGTAGCAAGATAATTTTACTTGACAAGTAAACTACCTCTAGACTAGAATTAAGCAGTCTGTGGTAAGTGTTCATGGGCTGGAAATAAGTTTATGGATGCTAAGTTTTAGATAAATATACTTAAATGTCACTGAATCTAAAAACTAGTTAAGTGTTGCAGGGGAAAACTATGGTAAATGGATTGTAGCTTATTTTAAGCATGTATTGCCTAAATTTAAGTTTTTCTGACTAGTTGAGTCATGGAAGAAATATATGTGACAATTTTTAAGATTATACAACCAATTCAGAGCTAGTAAGTAGATATTAAATGTGAAAATAATATGAATAACCTGATATAAGTTTTAAAATCTGATGAGAGAAATTTGCGGTGCAGTTGAGGAGCATGAGCCACCACCACAATCAAATAAAGCAGTAACTAAAAATAATAAAAACAACATACTAACTAGTCATTTAAAAGCTTTACTCTGTATATTATGAATGTATCAGAGTATTATTCTTTACAATTTTACTCATATTTTATTAGTATTTTTTTACTCCATTTATTCTTTGTCGATCAGTTGTTTTCATGTTGTATTTCTGAGCTTGTGCCCTTGCAATTTCTCTTGTGGATCAGTATTTTTTTCCAAACGTTCATGTAAACCAGTGAAGAGTTATTTTCTAGACTCAAACGCAGCGTGCCCTGTGTGTTTTTTTCAGAGGAGTTCGCGGCCCACACCAGCACCGTGTCCTGTCTGTCTCTGGGGAAAAGCTCAGGGCGCCTTCTAGCGACCGGAGGAGAGGACTGCAGGGTGAACATCTGGGCCGTCAGCAAAACCAACTGCATCATGGTAACGCCACAATCCCACTATCTAACTGAGGACTAAAGATGAAACATGTAACTTTTCTGGTGGAGAGTCTGCTACTTGTTTGTCTGCTTGAGGTGTTGCCAGGAATGTTACACAGTGGAGCATTTAAGCAGATATTTTACGAGAAATGCAAAACCTGATTAAAAAGGTTAAAAAGTGTAAAATTACGTTTCACTTTTTGTCCAAAGTCTGACGAGTATAACCATATAATAATAATAATAATTAGTATTTTATAAGATGCAGTTTCACCACAGTCATCTTATTGTGCAAAGTTTTGTAGCCTTATTGCTTTATTGTAAATTTTTATAGCAGGGATCTCCAACCTTTTGTGTCCGTTGAGCTACCTTTACAAAATGAAAATGCTGGAGAGCCACTCATTTTAGCGGTCACAAGAAATTTTGTCAATAAAAGAGGGCAAGCCTTAGTGTTGTTCAGTTAGATGCCTGTAAAACCTAAAAGCATTATCAAACCATTAATCAAATTTGAGTTATTCAGTACAATACATAGAATTCAGAAATCCCTTGGTGAGCTACTTGTAACTTGACCATGATTGGATTTTGTCTTTTGTATTTTCCCAATTGTGATAAAAATGTATCTTATAACTTTGGTTGGTTGTACAGGTATCGTCTGTCATTCAAACTGACTTGTGTTATTTATTTATCTTTTTTAAAGATTTTCAGAAGCTGCTATATGATTGCGTTTTTGTTGAGTGTATAGTAGTAGTTTGTGTAAAGTCTAAATCTTTTCCCCGTTGCTTGTTCAGAGTCTGACGGGCAGTAAGAGTCCGGTGGAGTGTCTGCAGCTCAACGCCTCAGAGGAGCAGGTCGTGGCCGGGTCTCAGTCCGGATCCATCAAGATCTGGGACCTGGAGGCCGCCAAACGTGAGTGTTACACCCATAGTCTGAATAAAGACGATATACAGTCCTTGGTAAACCCTATCTGAAGGTTTTATTTCAACTGGATATGAGTTCACAGGCTAATTATCAACATACTAGCCTCTAATTTTGATTTCATTATCAGCAATGATCAGACAGTTGCTTTGTCTACGATACTTAAAATTGAATTATTGTTTGGTATTTGAAATAAATCTAATACCAGTTCACTTTTTTCTGGTGGAAACATTGAAGGTCCTATATTATGTTAAATGCCATCTTATAATGCTGTTACCTCCCCTAAAATAAGTTTAAAGGACCCATATTACACTATTTTCTGATCTATGTTATAATGTTGCGTCCTTCTCAAAAACAGACCTGGAGTTTTGTTTCATTCACACATGTTTGAGTAACCCTGTTCCACCTTGTGATGTCATCAAATGGCATTTTTCAAGTTAACAGCTCCTTTTGCCTTTTGTTCAGTAGAGCTTGACAGTTCAGAGTGAAAATGTGTCCAGTTTGTGTATCAAACGTGTGAATGAAACAAAACACAACTCCAGGTGTGATGTGGAAAGTATAGATTGATAAATTGATATAAATTGATGTTATGTATTATATTATGTTTTGTATGTAGGGATAATAAAGTCTGTTTGTCTGTCTGTCTCTCTCTCTCTCTCTCTCTCTCTCTGTCTATCTGTCTATCTACCTATCTTTCTATCTCTCTCTTTCTCTCACTCTGTCTCTCTCTCTGTCTCTCTCTCTCTCTCTCTCTCTCTCTCTCTCTATCTATCTTTCTATCTCTTTCTCTCTCTGTCTCTGTCTCTCTGTCTCTCTCTATATATCTCTGTCTCTCTCTCTCTCTGTCTCTATCTCTATCTGTCTGTCTGCCTGTCTCTTTATCTATCTCTCTATCTGTCTCTATCTATCTATCTATTATTTATTTGTTTACTTTACATTTTTATTCCCTGAAATACTTGGTTTGTTGTCACGTGTTTATGCAGTTCTGTGGAGCTTTTGTAGGACTTTTACATTAAAACATGTTAAAACTACAGAACCCACATAATCCTTGTTGTTTGATTTGTATTTTTCAAATAGTCTAGAAGGACACAGTTGACCCACTCTGACCTTTCTCTGTTTCTCTGTTTCTCTGTTCAGTTTTACGCACTTTAATGGGACACAAAGCAAACATCACGAGTCTGGGCTGTCACCCGATGTCTGAAAACTTCCTGGCCTCAAGTTCTATGGACACGAATATTAAGGTGAGGGGCTGTGGTTCATTTATACTGGAGGGATTTGAGCTGTTGTTTGTATTTGTAAATGTGTCTAATCTCATGGACTAACAGGCTTACTTGTTTTCTTTGTGCAGCTGTGGGACGTCCGGAGGAAAGGGTACATCTTCAGATATCAGGTGAGTCTATGGTTTTACGTAAAAACAATCTGTCAGAAGTCATCGGCTTTTTGAGCTTGTCTTTGTCTTTTCTTATCTAATGTTTAAAGTAATAAGAAAGTTGTTTTTTGATTTGGTCAGACAAGGACATTATGCTTTTTTGATACTTAGTTTTGATATATAAACTAACTAGAGCAGCTCTTTTTGCTCATTTGTAAACCACAGTATTGACCTAAAACAGCTTAAAATAGAAATGTGCCAATTAACTACCAGGTCAAACCCATATCCTCATTGTATTTTTCACTGTAGAAAGCAGCTTATTTTCATGTACCAGTACTTGTTTTTATTTTTAGAAAGTTGCTTTGACATTGTTTAACTCTTATTTTAAAGGTACAGTTCGGAATTTTGGACATAGGACCTCATATCCTAGTGAGCCAGAGTGTTGGGAGACGTGTGGAGACACTTTTTAAAATATTCCATCCAGTCCTTGTATTTGCAGAGGTCACTGGTGCTAGACTAGTGCATGTCAATGGTCATAGTTATCCTGCTTTTAAAAACAGTCTTACCCACTCCACAAAACACCCGAAGAAAATCTATTATTACACCAGACTGTCCACGTAAATGTCTGTGTCGACAGAATAATTTTAGAAGTAAAACCAACCTTGCATTTGAAGGATTTATGTCTGAGCAGCAGCAAATTGTACTTCCTGATAGAAAGTTTGGCAGCATCAGACTGATATATGGGGAAAATAGTCTCTCAACATGCGACGATTCATGCAATGCAAGGTTAGTTTTATTTCAAACATTATTCTATCAACACAAACATTCACATCGACAGTCTGGTGTAATAATACATCTTCTTCAGGTGTTTTGTGGAGTGGGTAAGACTGTTTTTAGTGGCAGGATAACAATGACCATTGACATGCACTAGTCTAGCACCAGCGACCTCTGCAAATACAAGGACTGGATGGATTATTTTTAAAAAGTGTCTCCACACGTCTCCAACACTCTGGCTCACTAGGAAATGAGGTCCTATGTCCAAAATTCTGGACTGTCACTTTAACATGACAAATAAACACAGGGCTGTGAAATTGGCAGAGGAATTGGGTAAAAACAGACATTTCCTGAGCACTGAAACATGCGTGAATCAATCAAAATACAACTCTCAGTAAGCCCATGATGAGAGAGAGGAAATGTCTCTCCTTTAGACAGATCTATAATGAAAACATAACATAATGAATCTCATAACATTGGTTCTTCATCAGAGACAGACCTGGAGATTTGTTTTGTTTCATTCACACATATTTAACACACAAACCCTGCATATTTTGGAGTTCTACTGAAAAAAGGTAAAATGTTGACATTAACTTGAAACTACTAATAATAAAGCGTTACTCAGACCTGTGTAAATGAAACAAAACACAACTCCAGGTTTGATTTTGAGGAGATTACATTATAACATTATAAGATGATTTAAAGCTTACAGGAGTCAATTTTGTGTAACGTTGGACCTTTAAAGCAGAATGTTTTGTTTTTCTCAGGGTCACACAGAGGCAGTGAGGAGTTTGGCCTTTAGTCCTGATGGGAAGTGGTTGGCTTCAGCGAGTGACGACTGCACAGTGAAGGTAAATTTAAACGTAAAAACCTGTGTACAATCCCGCAGTCGTCCAGGTAGAGTCCATGGCAAAAGGACAAATTCAATTAGTCAACTGGACAAAAGTAAAAAAATGTTTCAAATGTAAAAAAAACAAAGTATAACAACATTTTTTAAAAGTATAACTTGAACAGGAAAAAAAAACTGCTCTAGAGCCAAGGGTAGAGGCTGTCAATCATTTCATACCAAGTTCCACCAAAGAAAATATTTTACTTTCCTAGTACCACCAGATCTAAACCAGGACTATATCAATACAATCCCAGGTCGAAACTAGGACTAAACCAGGTCTAGTAGGGCTACATCATTGCCTTAGTAGTCCAGCCAGGAAATTTCCCAAATGAGGACAAAAATGTGGATGAAATACATGCATCCAGAATTTCGGATTTCCGGTCATCGCTCAATGCATACTGGGATTTTCCGAAAAAGTGAGCATCAAACTGCCATATTTGATTTCCCAGTGGGATGCGTCTATTGTCAAAGCTGATCTTTTCAAGTCTTTTGAACCATATCGCTTTTGTTTCTGGTTCTGATATTGTCATATTTTAGTTATTTAGTTATACAAATTGTTCACTGCAAACTCGGGATGATTTCTTAGGCAGTCAAAGGTTTCCTTTTTCGTCCTTCCTGTGTATCAATCCTGCCCATCACCTTCGTCTTTCACTATTTTCCAATTCTGTTGGGAAGGGGAACAGTTTGAACGGAGGTTTGCAGTCACACAGATCTGATTCCCTTTTGCATTTACAGAGTTCGCAAACTTCCAAAGCCCATTTCTCGAGCTGTTTTCCGCTGTTAGGACATCCAACAACCACACAATTACGATCCGAATCCCATAACTAAAATATGACAATATCAGAACCAGAAACAAAAGCGATATGGTTCAAAAGACTTGAAAAGATCGACTTTGACAACAGATGCATCCCACTGTAAAATCAAACATGGCGGTTTGATGCTCACTTTTTCAGAGGATCCTTCCCAGTATGCATTGCGCGATGACCGGAAGTCCAAAATTCAGGATGCATGTATTAGGCAAACACATAAACTGAATAGCTGTCAGTGTCTATGCAGTTCATGTACCACAGTTTGAGAACGTCTCTGTGCTGGTTTCTGTGTGCATGTGTTTTTAGGGGAGCGGGTCATTCACAGACCAAAGTGCTTAAGAGTGATGGAGAAAAATGTTAATCTGATTAAATTGAGCCTACGTGCTTATAGGGCACAGTACTGCTATAGGGAGGATTTACCTTGAATCTCATGTATAGAGCCACTATTACTAAGTTTTTAAGTAGAGGATCTGAAACCTTCTTGTCTCACTGAAGATGTTGTTTGGCTGAAATATTACACAAAATGGTATAAAACCTATTTCTTCGGCAATGTAAACTCTGATGGAATAAATTAATAAAGATGCCAAGTTCCATATAGTATAACATTCCAGACAAAGTAATCACATTTTCATGAGACAAGCAGGTGATTGACTCTCCGCCAGTAAATATACACAGTGCACCTTTTATTAGAAGAAACAGACTCTAATACGACCTCATCCCGACAAAATTATGTGAAGAAATGTGTACAATTAGATTACTTTGACTCCTGTATGTTAAGTCCATGTGGTTGTGCTTATTTTCTTCAGTTGTGGGACCTGGGAGCGGGCAAAGCCATCACAGAGTTCAAGTCTCACTCTGGAGCCGTCAACATCGTCCAGTTTCATCCCAACGAGTATCTGCTGGCTTCAGGCAGCGCAGACAGGTGAGCGCCCCCTGTGGGTTTGGGTCTGGGTTGGATGGGTTTTCAGATTACAAAAACAAACATTGGAGGTCAGTCAGTCTGCCAAATATTAAAAAAAAATAATAATAATGATGGAACCTTTAGAAAATATACAACAAATGAAAGGTTTCCCTCCCTGCATGTATTCATCCAACCTTATTTTAACTTAAATGTCATCCAGATCTAAAATAAAAACAAATCCCCCCCCCACGCAAAATAAGAATGCATTAATATAAAATACTTTCAAATAAAATCATTATAAATTGCATATTTTTTTCTTCTTTCCACTCCTTTTTCCAGAGTAGTATGTATGATTATTGTTTCTCTCTTGGCACAAACTCGAAATAAAAATGAATCAATCAATGTTTAGTAACTGGAAGGACATGAATTTCTTGTTACAGGACGATCAAGTTGTGGGAGCTGGAGAAGTTCACATTGGTCGGCTCTTTGGAGGGAGACACCAGCGCGGTCAGGTCTGTGTTTATGTGTACGGCTATGTTCGTACTCATAGTTGTACTGTAAATCTGTAATCTATAGTGTCCTTTGTACATTTACAGTACAACTATGAATATTAAAGTATGCAGCTAGCCCCAGGTCTCAAATTGCAAGAGAAGAAGGAAGTTTATGAACACTATGAACACTTAACGCCTGGATTAAACTCCTTTCCCCTCGCCCTCTCTCCCTCTCTCCTCAGGTCTGTCTGCTTCAGTCCCGACGGCTCGTGTCTCTACAGCGGCTCCTCGGACACTCTCAGGGTTTTTGGGTGGGAGCCCGAGCGCTGCTTCGACGTGGTGTCTGTGGGCTGGGGCAAAGTGTCCGACCTCTCCATCTGCAACCAACAGCTGGTGAGGAGCTCAGACACCAGGGCGTGATATAAATCTACGTAACATTATCGTGAACAGTCAAACTAAATAGTTAGAGATCGACCGCTATAGGTTAGAATCCAGTGCAGTTGACGGCCGGTAAGGTCTGCTGATATTTTTTAGTTGATAATATGTAGGTGAGATTTTGATAATTTTTCCTGACTGGAATAATTTGAAAGAATAAATACCAAAAAAAAACTGCTCTATCTCACTGCAAACCCATAAGAGAGCTGTGTTATCACATTTTATACTATCAACCCATGTGGAGATTTAAGGCCAGTACTCTACACGCTAAAAAGTTCAAATACTGGGGCCCTGTACTGGATTTTTTCACCTGTTTTTGTGCAAGTCTTGTCTTACTCTCATCCCAGTACAAATATACTGTATAACCAGAGTGCTTTCTGAATTACAAAGCATTTGCTGTCAGATATTCAGGAAGTGTGTGTTAGCATGCTAGTCGTTATTACGAGAGGTTTGAATTTATTTGTTTGGAGGATAAGCCCCTTGAGATGTCTCGCCATCTCGTTTTCGAGGGGGTCCTCATAAATACAATGACAATAGACAGATACAGTAGGGCAGAAAGTAGAATACATGAAATATTATTAGGCTGTAAACTGTTCATTAAATTGCATATCATACTTTCAAATCCAAATTCCCAGTTTTTTTTTCAGAGTCACGTTTTAATTCAAATCACAGTCACTTGTTAATTTATTCAGTCGTAACCAAGTACTTTGTTTTCCTTCAGATCGGAGCGTCCCACCACCTCTCCACTGTCTCCACCTTCGTTGTGGATCTGAAGCGGGTGAAGAAGAACGGAGGAGCCGTGATCCAGGGAATTATCCAGGACGACCAGCCCCTGTCTGCTCCGAGTGAACACAAAGGAGGAGCACTGAGACGCAGCTACGAGAAGCCCACCACTACCTGCGCCGCCCAGAGGTACAGGGAGGGGGCGCTTTGAGATTATGGTAGAGAGTCACTGCTCCTCCACATAGAGAGGAGCCAGTTGAGGTGGCTCGGGCATCTGTTCGGGATGCCTCCTGGGCGCCTCCCTTGGGAGGTGTTCTGGGCATGTCCCACTGGGAGGAGGCCCCGGGGAAGACCCAGGACACGCTGGAGGGACTATGTCGCTTGGCTGGCCTGGGAACGCCTTGGGGTCCCCCCAGAAGAGCTGGAGGAAGGGTGCATGGGAGGGAAGTCTGGGAGTCCCTGCTCAGACTGTTGCCTCTGCGACCCAGCCCTGGATAAAGCAGAAGAAGATGAATGGATGGGTTGTGACCCACTCATAATTCAAATCTGAGCTGACTGGTTGTGGCAGGAAGGGTGTCTGGTGTAAAAACAGAGTTTATATCGTGTGTGTTCGTGTGTGTTTAGGGTGAAGAAGAACTCAGAGGGGGACAGACACAGTCCAGAGGGAGAGCGGCGCAGTCCCAGTGAAGACGAAGGAGACGAGAAACTGTCCTCAGCCGAAATCCACAATGCAGACGACTACAAGGAGATCTTCCAGCCCAAGAACGCCATCTGTAAGTGTGGCTCTGTTTAAGGCAAAGTGTTGAGTAACCTTTACATTGTACATTAAATGCGTTTGTGTTTTTACAGCTCGGACTCCTCCAAAGTTTCATGAACCTTTTCCTGCTCCACCTGAAGATGGTAAGGGATCAGTAAAGTGTACATTGTAGCTGTCACATTTGTACATATAAGTCACACATCTCTGCTTCTACAGAGTCTGTTCTGGGCATAACTCGCAAAATGAAGGACATCGCTCCATTTTCTGAAAAGCAACAAGTGAGTGAACACAGAATACATTGCACAAGCCAGACTGATATGCGTTGCCCTCTTATTCAACTTCAAAAGTTATGAAAGTATCTCAGGTTCTATGAATTCTATTAAAAGTTGGAATGTTCTTTCTTTAAGCTGATTTGGTGGCGCGTCACAGAGGAGTGAGCAATTTTGTGAAATCCAGTTTAAAAATATAAATACACTGTGCATGTTTTTATTTCCTCAGGTTCCTCCGATTGCTCAGTCCACACCGGTGCAGAGAGTGGAGCCCACAGTAGTGTCGTGTGCAAAGCGCCCTCTACCTCCGGCTGACCCCCCCACAGCCTGGCCCCCTCCTCCCCCCGCTGCACCTGTTGTCGCTGCACCTGTCCCCACTGCACCTGTCACAATACCTGCTCCGGGCGTCACCAAAGCCAAACCGCACCCTCCTCCACAGCAGCAGCAACAGCCCAAAAGCAACCCGCCCAAAATCATCCTCAGCTCCAGGAACGAACCCATCGGACTCAACGTGGCCGACTTCCTGCCTGTGCGTAAATACAAGAGATTAATGTTTTATTTTGGAAGTTTTATGATGGATTAGTTGTACTATTTTCATCATTAGAAATCATTTAGTTTATCAAGTTAAAAGCATTGTATTTTGTGTGTAGCGCCATTAGTAATATTGTTCACCTGCAAACAGTTATTAATAATTTGATCCTCTGTACTGGGACTGTAGCACAGAAGAAGCTCCCATCACCTACTCTGACCGAGGATAGGGCTGCAAGATCGATCTAAGTCGCAATTTAAAAAGACTCCATTTGAAATTTGCAAATTGCAAAGGCTGCAGGTTTTTAAGTACCATAATTTCTTCCACAAGCAACATAATATCCTGTCTCATTCTGCATTAAAAACCTGGTAACCCTGTAGTTTTTTTGTATTTGTGATTTTCAGCTCATGTTTCTTTTTGTCAGTTCTCCTGGACACGTTTTAAAATGTGAACTTTGACCAGAATCCTATCGTCTATTTATAACAAATCTGACAGTAATCCCGCAATCATTATGCTTGTCGGAAAAAAGCACAATGAGATATTTTCCCATATTGTTCAACTCTGAGGAGTCATTAGCATTAACAGGTTAAGAATTCCACCAGGATTCAGTTATTTCATTTGCTGTTTAAATGCACTTAAATATGTTTTTGTTTAGTGTTTTTTATAGGGATGGGACCAGATCTCATGCCACAAGATCTCGCAAGAAAACTGTGCATGTGATACTCATATTTTTACATTTGCCTTGGGTTAAAAAGGGGTTAACTCTGCAAATTAACTCCCCTTGAGAAGCTGCAATTTCAAAAAGCAGTGCTACAATGACACCAAAACTATAAAATTAAATAAACCAAAAATTGTGAAGCCAAAATCGTGACCTGAATGGCACAATTTATCTATTAAAATGATATAAAACTCTTGTCTTGTAAGTCTCTTGTAGAAATTATGTCTCGTCCCTTCCCTTGTTCTTTACCGTGATGAATTGGTGGAAAATGGCTGATTTCACTCATGTTGTTTATTTCTTTTCTTTTGTCTTAGCCCTCTGTTAATAACCGTGCCGGGGCCCTGAGTGAGGAGGAGGCTCTGTCGCAGATAAAGAAAGGTCACGACACCATGTGTGTGATGCTCAGCAGCCGACACAAGAACCTGGAGACGGTGAGAGGCGTCTGGGCCAGAGAAGACATCAAGGTAAATACTGTTATATACACAATACAACCCTATGAGAAAATATCAAGGTAAATACTTCTATAAACACTATACAAACTTATGAGAAGATATCAAGATAAATATTTCTATAAACACTGCACAACCCTATGAGAAAATATCAAGGTAAATATTGTGATGAACCATACATCCCAATAAGATACAATACACTATATCATAAATACTATTTTGGTGAACAACAAATGGAATGATTGTTATCTTGACCCCAAAATATGACCCCAAGGGCTGAGAGGAGAGCTTTTATGATGCAGACAAAGCTCTAATGTAGGTTGGCCAATATATCTGGCCAATATTTTGACTTTTTAATGTATTGGCTATTGTTACATTTGGGCACTTGTTATTTTCCCCCTCTTTTTATTGTCTATATTTTTTGTCAATCAACTTTATAAATCCCAAAAGGCCATTCAGTTCGCATATCTCTGGTCGTGCACAATCTATAAATGATAAAAGAAAAAGAACAGACGCCATACATTCAAACCTCAGAGCATCAGGGACTCGGTAGCAAATTTACTTTCCATTTAAAAGCTTTATGGCAGAAGGAATCAAAGATTTGGCGTCGCGGTTGGTCTTTTGCTGTGGGGTGACATATCGCCTTCCAGAGGGCATTTGCACAAACTGTGAGCGCAGTACATGGTTAGGCTGGCTCAGTATGGCCCTGTAGTGTTTTGGCCTTGTTGTATTTTTCCCTAGTTTTGTTTTTGTAATATAGTTCTGTTTTTGTAGATGTAAGTCATGTTTTTACCGTCATTTCCGGCTGGAGCTGTTAAATGCACAAACCCTGCACCGCCTCTCTCTCTCTTGCTCTCTCCTCCTCCGGTGAGACTCCGCTGTCCTGTTTTTGCTTTTCCTTTGGGTATAGGTTTGTTTGGGGGGTTTTTGCCTTTAGTTATGGGTGCTGGCTCCAGCTTGTATGGCCCTGTATGAGGTTGTCCCAGAGTCACACCTTTTCGTTCTGTATGGCCAGCTCATCAGGTCCATCTTTCTGTTGTTACTTTTTCTTAGTTTGTTGGGCACGGGCTAAGGGTTTTCTTTTTGGTTCCAACACCTACAAAGTCAGAAAATAAAATAAAAAACGCATTTTTAATCCTTAACTTTTGTTTCTGTTTTAACTTTGTTTCCTTCCTGAATATGTTGGGATTTACTTTTGGGTCGTAACAGCTATCGACCTTAAATCTCCAGCATAGGCCGATTACAGATGTAACAATAACCGAAATATCGTGATATCGTATCGTCAAAGTTCTCACAATAATATCATGGACCATCACAATATATCGAATTGCAAGAGTTATGGTGCAGCAGTAGCTAAAAAAAAAAGACAGAGGGAACTACATAGACCATGATCCTTTGCTCCATTTCAGTGCAGATTACATGAAGAAATAATAGTTCTAAGCACTTTTAAGTCTCAGTTAAGCCTTGTCAAGGCATTTTAAAAGGAAAAAGTTGCATATTATCCATCGTACCGTGAGATGTATATCATGAAAATATCGTATTGAGAGATTTGGATATTGTTACATCTCTAATCGTGAGGCTCTCCACCATATCATGAGATTTCCCACGATATCGCAGTAAATATTGTACTGTGAGGTTCATACTGTGACGATATTGTTTCATGAGACTTGGATATCGTTACACCCTTAAGGCCGATATTTTCTGATCAATCTGCTGCTTAAAAAATATACACAAAGCTTTATATTAAGTCTTAACTACAAAGATAACTGCACAAAACATGACGACTACACATTTCTCTTACATGTTTGTTGTAAAAAAAAAAAAAGGGGGGGGCTCTGGGTGAGTTTGTTTTAAATTTAAATTACATTCAATACATTCTGCCATCGGTTACTCATCGGTTCTAAACAATCGTATCGTCATCGGCCATGAAAAAAGCATATTGTTCGATCTCTACACTAATAACTTCAAAATGACTTGGGGAATGTGTAAATTTAACTTTAAACTTGAGTGCAAAACCCCCGAATGATAACAGTTATTAAAAAGCTTAAGTTTCAACAACAAATGTGTGATTGTTTCTCCACAGAGAGCTCTGGACACGGCTGTCTCTATGAACGACTTGGCCATCGTCGTGGACATCCTCAACATCATCAACCTGC